CCACTCAATACAAATGATACATAATAGCACACTAAAATATCCAACTGCAGGTATTTACAGACACTGCAGTGCAACAACGATGATGTCAGCACCACCATTCAAGTTCGGGAACCGCGGCATCGAGGTGGGTTCAACAGGAATCACAGCGGTGCCACACAGCAGAGCCGTCAGCATTTCCCTTACCAAAACATGTTTTCAGGGATTTAAAAGCACAAATGTGAAATACATTCAGTGTTAGGCAGAAGATTTTAGTGTATTTTTAAAAGCAATTACATGAAGCTTCAAAAAAATTTTAACTCCTTTGCCTGAAAAACAATCATATAGCAGTACATCAAGGTCTTCAGAAATTTTATCTTAAGACAACTCCTGATGTGTTGCATATATTCAGCATACATGACCTCAGCAGTGGCCTGTAACAGAAATATCTTCCCTACCAAAACACTCCTCCTTCCCAAGCATGCACACATGAACAGCTCAATGTATTTTTTTTAGTGTTCATCAACATCACACATCGTCAATCTTGGCTAAAGAAGATTTAACTGATATCAGCTACTCCCTCCTGAGGAACAGATTGCTGATCTTTCTTCTTTAAGCAAAAAAAACTGGATGTGAAAATAACCTTCAAAAGGACAGAGAAAAAAAAAATAACACACATTTCCCCCAGCTTTCATTTTGCCTATTCACAGCTGCCTCAAAACACCAGGGAAGAAACAAACCACCATGACTGCCTGGCTTGGGGAAGTCCATAAGTACTTGTACTGCTGGAAAATCAAAGAGAATCCTTCTGCAAACGTGCACAGCTCCTGCAAAGGGAGCCTGAGCATGCTGTGTCACAGAGAAGGAGCTAAAGGATGCCAGATCCTGTCCTAGAGGTTGGGACACTATTGGGACAAAATTAATGCCCGGCCTTTTGGTTTGCTGAATTTAACTTTTACAAAATAAAGACATTTTGAGGATAGACTATGTGCAGCACAACACTGTGTCCAAATATACTATTAAGGAAGGTCACTGACAGCAAACCTCCACAAATTCCAAGCTAGAAAAATCAGTAAAGCAGTGCTGTCCCAAAAAAAAAAAAAAAAAAAAAAATCAAGATGTGCTGAAGTTGCTGTTTGATGCTATAGAACTAACCACAGTGCAGGTAAAATTCAAACCAGCCCCAAAATTTAAGCAGATATTGCAGGGACACAGAAAATGTTGCATTAGAAGAAAATAAAAAAAAAAGAAAATTGTTTAAACCAAAGTGGTTGCAAAGCTAGTGATTTAGGCTGACAAGAGGGTTTGAGCACAGCCTCAACTATGCACTTTTGAAATATGAAGACAGATAAAGACCTGCTCATTTTTAGGCATTTAATCTTAAAATCTCAATTCGACTGTTTAAACAAGAGCAGTTGAATTGGCCATCTGAATTTGGTGTCTTCACATAGAAGGGGGCTTTTTGGTGGATTTGCTTTTGCATTAACATCATAGACCTTTGATAAAACTATCCAGGGCTGGCAAGGACTGCACTCTGCTGAGACTCCTGAGAAAGCAAATTACCTTGACTGCAATGCAGAAATGCAGAGTTTACAGGTAATGCAAGATTATATAATTAACCCCAGCATTTTTCATCCCATTTGTTATCTTCTCATTATCTTTTTAATTGCAGTATAAACATTTACCTCACTACCATTTCCAAATACATCCTATTTATTTTATCACATCCTATTTATTTTATCACCACTGAAACACAAGCATCACTGTGTAGAAACAGTTAAAGCACAACAACTCAAGGATTATAAATTTGTGCAAATGGATGAATAGGAACCAAACCAACTTTAAATGCACAATGTTCTGCACTGTAAATCTCTTCACAGTTGATTTGCAGACGCTATAAAGAAAAAGATTCTGCTCAAATACATTTTAAAATTAAAACCTCCTGGAAAATTAATCAGTATCAAAACTTGATTATATTGAACTGTAACTCCTACAAAACGTTCACACATCATGCATCACAGACAGAAATTAGGCAACTCAAAAGTATTAAAGGAAAGGCAGATCAGACTCACACTAAGTGCAAATAAAGCACCTGCTGTAGAGAATAAATTCAAACTAGTGGCTTTTGTTACAAACAGGTCACTGCAATAAAGGCAGGCAAGTGTGGCAAGGGCACTTCATGCATTATGGAAAAATACCTGGACTTTGACTTTACGAAACGATGACAACATGATGGAAGAATGTAGAGTCTAAAAGGGAGGGGGAAATCAAGATAACATTCAACTAATGACCAGCATAAGGATATGGATGAAATTTTTCTGTCACAGTACCTGTTAATCACTTTCCTTTTGCATCCTTGTCACATAAAATAATTTGGTGTTAGTGTTACCCAAGGTGTTGAAAATGACAAGACCCCCTCATGCAAAAAAGGTTACAATATCAACAGGAAAACTAAGTTAATTCAGTATGTACTAACCTTTCCAGTTAGTTCAAAACAAACCAAAAAAATACCGTAACCAGAAGGTCAAAACAGAAAGTAAAGCAAGTTATCTGGACTTGGCAAATGATAGTTCTTGCCACACTATAATCAAGTGTGACGGCTTAATCTGAAGACACAAATTCAATCAGAAGGTTTGGAATGTAAATCTCTACAAAAATGTTGACTTTCAATTGCCACGACAAAAAAAGGACAAGCAGCAGTTGTGACAGAAAGTATTTTTTGAGACGCAGCTGTCAAGAGCGTCCAATCCATTGAATTTTCAGCTAAAAATTTCCTTGCCTTCCCCAAGCCCAGGGACGTGCTGCGATCCCTGCAGGGAGCAGTGTGGGTGCCTTTGTGCCGCTGGAGCTGCGCGGGTCCCTTCCCCTGCCCAGCTGCAGCACGAGAGGCACATTCCCCTCTGCTGGAGCCACGGCAGCCCGGGCCGGGATCCATCCACCTTGCCCTGCCCGGGCCGGGATCCATCCACCCTCCCCTGCCCGGGCCGGGATCCATCCACCTTCCCCTGCCCGGGCCGGGATCCATCCACCCTCACCTGCCCGGGCCGGGATCCATCCACCTTCCCCTGCCCGGGCCGGGATCCATCCACCTTCCCCTGCCCAGCTGCAGCACGAGAGGCACATTCCCCTCCGCTGGAGCCACGGCAGCCCGGGCCGGGATCCATCCACGGCATCCGCAGCCCGCTCCGCCCCATTCTTCTGCTGCCTACACTCGCTCCAGGGACAGATGGAAAAAACAAACTCCCACACTACACTGACAAGCAGAGGAGAAAAGGGAGGAATTCGTATTATTTCCTCCGATAGAGGGGAAGCGATCAATTGTCTCCAAAAAGCAATTTTGTATTTATTTATGTATTTGTGATTAAAACAGTCACAAGCCCATAAATACATTACGCGGACCAAAAAAAGGCAGCGAAGATACCAAGCTATTTGTGCTAAATTACTAAGGTTAGCTGTAAATGTCATAGTTGAGAAATATACATTTCTCACCAAGAGGTACCACCCTCCACCAAGAGAATTAAGGCCTCTCTTATCCTACTGCTGTGCAGGAGAAAAATGTGCAAAAAATGCTTAAAATGTGTAAATGTAACCATTATTTTGTCATTGTTGCTACCTTTGTTATTAAAAAAAAAAATCAACCACAATTATGTTTAACTTCCTGAACTACAGATCTCATATAAGCATTATATCTAAATCTGTTTCTTTAAACAAAATTTTGATTTCAGTCTGACCAATGTGGATATTGTGGCTTTTTATTTCAACAAGAATGGAAATAAATTACTTCTTGTGAACAATGTAACCTGTTATCTTATTACAAGTATTTTCCACAGCTTAACAATTCCATTATTCCTGTTACAGATCCTGCACACAATGCAGCAGAAAGCAACCCATTTTCAACCTTTTGTCCATTATTTTCTCTGCACAATCCATAAATAAGGACAAATGAAGATTTCAAGGAAGAACTCTCTGCTAGATGTATATAAATGCATGAAAATCCCACAGTGGGATTGAAAATTTGTGTTGAACAAATCTGAATCCCTGACTAAGGCCTTCTACTGAGCACAGTCACTGGAATCTTCTGGCACTTTGCTGAAAGCAAAAATGCCAAAAGAAAATGGATTGTTTTCCAGAAAGATACAGAACCATTTCAGGCTGAGTTGGCTTTTTTTTGGTTGTTTTTTTCATTTTTTTCCCCCTGATATGCTCATTCGCCATCTCCAGACAACTGCTCTTCAAAACGTATTTAAATATGTATGAAAGACTGCTCAGGAGTCACGTACATTTTCCACTGGAACACGAACCTGGTTTATGATAAAACAGCTACAAAAAAATCCTTAACAGCCAATATGAACCTGCTGAAAAAAAATATACAGTGATAACTGCTTGGTTTTCCTTCAGTATCAGGGAAAATGGTTGCCCTATTGGCACATATTTATGATCCAGCAATGCAGATTTATATTGTTATAACCAGGTAAGGTGTATGTGGGCAACAAATTGAGAAACGCTTGATTTGGATTTATTTTAAAGTAAAAAAAAAAAAAAAAAAAAAAAAAATTAGGGGTTTTTTTTGGGTTTTTTTTTTTTTTTAAATAACCAGGGCAGGGACAAATCCTGACTGTTTTACAAAGGAAGCAGTAGACCTTGCCCTACATACAAAGTAACACATATATGAAAGGAACAGAGGTCGGGAGACTCGGCTGAAACGCCTCCCTGCTTGTCAGCTCTGCCGAGCCGCCCCCGTGTCCGTCCCTGCCCGGAGACCCCCGGGCCCTGCGGCACGGGCTCCGCCGCTGCCCCGGCCCCTCCATCGCTCCTTCCTCCTCCTCGCCGCATCTCCTGACCTTGGACAGGGCTGGGCAGCCGCGGGAGCCATTGCTGTGCAACGATTCCCGGCGGGGGCTCCATCCCCCGGGAATTCTCCCCGGGAAATGCAGGGTGGCAGCCCTGGAGGGCCGGGCGGGCACGGCGGGGGCTGTTACCCGCCGGGGATGTTATTTTCCGCCTGTTTGTCCCTCCCCGGGCCGCTGAATGGGATTCCAGGCGGGGGTCGCGCTGCTCAGGGCGGCTGTGGCCGCTCCCTGCCCGCCCGCCCTTCACTCGCGCCGCGCCCCCGCCCTTCGCTCCGCTCCGCTCGACCGAGGCCCGCGGGGAGACCCCGGGCCCGGCTCTGCGGCGCCCCGCGATAAAGAACGGCCCGGCGGAGCCGCGGAGGGCGAGAGCGAGCGGCGGCCGGGACGCCCGCGGAGGCAGGGCCGGCCTCAGCCTCCCCCGGCTCACCCGCACACCTGTGCCCGGCTGGGTGAGCCCGAGCGGGGCGCGGTGAAGGCCGCGCGGCGCCCCCCGCCCGCCCTTCGCCCCATCCCCTCACCGGCTCTGTGGGTGCGCAGGGACCTCCCGCCGGCTCCGCGCCCTCCGCCACGGACCGCGCGCGCCGCCCGCACCCGCCCTTTTATAGCCCGGCCGGAGGTGACGTCAGCGCCGCAGAGCTGCCCTGCCCGGAGGGCGGAAAGAGACGAACAACTTCGGAAACAATCGGGAAACGAGCGCGGAGAGGCCACGCCCACCCGAGCTCCGCCGGTGAACGATGAGATCCGGACAGAACCGAGTGAATCCGGAAAGGGACGAGCAGTTCCGGAGAGAACGAGGTGTTCGGAAATAACCGAGGGTGAGGGTCCGGAAAGGACCGAGGGCTTCCGGAAAGAGCCGAGCGGAGGGCGTTTGTGCCCTGCAGGGACCGGCCTGGGGCACCCCAAAATCACATTAGTACCGGGGGAATCGGTTAAAATGTCTCTGCCCCCTTCTCCGGAGTCAGGGTCGAGGTTCTACGGCTCAGTGATGGGGACAGCTCACTTGTGCAGCATCCAGCCACGGTCAAAGCAGCAGCTTTGTAAGTTTTATATTATATAGAGATGTAATTATATACATAACACACAGACACAGATATATATATATAAAATTTATATGCAGATGTATAGGTAAGAGTGGCTGCTGAAGTGCTGTGCAGTGTCACCCAGAAGCCTGGCAAGGACACAGCATCAAAAGGCTGCAAGAGCCTGTCAAGGGAAAGCTATTTCTGAAAAGCTGATGCATAAATTCAAAGGGAAATGAGCCTTTAGCATTAAATCAATGTTCAAAATAGACACATTCTACTCTAAAAAATGAAATAATTAGAGATTAGAGAGCTGGAAGGCAGCAAGAATGTTATTGGCTCAAAGTGGTGAGTGGGTTTGATGGCTGTGTGAATTAATAACACTTTATTTGAGTGAAGTACTTAACTGGAAGCACAGGCACTTATGGTGACACTGCATCCCTGGGACTGCCTGGAACTCCTGTCTCCAAGCAGGAGTCTGACTCACACCAACTTTGATGCATCTCCTCCTGAAGGCACAGTATTTCCACATCTGCCATGCTCTCCTTGGTCACATTTGATACAAATGTACATGCAAAACCACCAGGGATATAAGCATATCACCTTATTTGCATTGCATCTTAACAGCACCAACTGGCTAACATCCAAACCTGCTAAAATGACAAAAACAAGTCAAACACTCAGCTCAAGCAGCAGATAAAACCTCAAGCTACATCTGAAAACAAATATTGATCCTTATGAAGCACACACATTATTCATTTAGCATTCATACTAGTATTTTTAAAACAGTAGGTATGTGGATTCTCTTTACTGAGGCAGAAAAGGATATCTTGTTTTGTTTTTTTTTTACAAAAATATATACTTTTATTTAACCCACAAATGTTAGAAACCCCAAGTAGCTGTCAGCAAAAATAATATTGTATTTCACAAGGACATCATCAAATTCTTCCTTGGGTTTGGCACAGGTAGACAATTGTTTCTAACATACAGGACCAATTACTGTCTTGGCAAAGTGAATCTCCACCATAATTATGAAATATGCAATATAAAATTAAAACATCTCCACTCAGTATCAAAAAACCTTGTACATTTTCAAGTATACTAATAAAAGTTGCATTGCTTCAGAATTATCTGGCAAACGGACACCAGGAGGATATTTCCAATTTCCCAGAACAATCACAAAGTTACAGTAGTCTAAAGTATTCCAGAGTCAGTTTACAAAACACATAAACCAAATACAAATTTAACTTGGGTATAAACCATTTTAAAGACAAGGGTTTTACAGGCCTGAATTCCAAAGCACACGTTACAACCTTTTCTGAGAAATCTCAAGAACTATATGGAAAACCAAATCCATATTCTCACATGAGAACCTCAGTTCCATGTTCTACAGCTTCAAGCCCTGGTGCCTCTAGGAAAAACAAACCCCAGTCTGGTAAAAATAACATTTTCAATAGCACTTGCAACAGTATATTGCCAGAATAATCAACTACCCTGTAGAACTCAGAAATAAATTTTCTCATCTTGGAGGCCACCAAAACAGTTCAAGGACAGCTCACTGTAAATGCAACAGATTTTCCATCTCTATTCATCCAGGAGCTGTGGATTTTCCTGACTGCCCCTTCTCCAACAGAAAAAAAACCCACAGAATTTTGATTGTTACAGGAGTTCTTCTTTCCCCCACAAACCTTTTGGAGCAGTGAGTCTACCTCCCTTCAACCCAGAGTCCTGCCTTTTGGAGTGAAGTTACATCCAAGGGAGACAAGTGTCAGCACTGCTCAACCTTCAGCAGCCTCACCACAGATTTTAGATGATGTTGAGAACAAGTCCATCAGCATAATTACAGCTGAATTATAAAAGATGTAAGAAATACAAAAATAAAGTTCTAGCAGTAAGTTTGAGATGGATTATGCTGTTAAGAGTTCATAAAGCTGTGAGGTATTTTCACTTCCATGGGCCAAACAGCACTGTGCAATTTCTCAGTCCAAGAGTCCTTAACTCCAGAGCCATCAGCACAATGGATTTAAAGCATCTTCCACATGATTAAACATATGAAGGAAAGGACTTGAAGTGTCAGTAATTTATTATACAAAAACTTATAAAGATCTAATGCAGAGATTAGCTTTGAATCTAACAAATAAATCTTCTTGAATTAAACATTAAGGGGAAAGGAAATACAGGCTGATTTATGTTCTCCAAAAGGAAGGTGTCAGAATGCCCTTTGGTAATGGAATTTCCTGTGCACGTAGACATTTCTAATGGAGAGAAAGACAAATAATAAAGATAAATAAATGTGCATCTTAATTTGGCATTTCTTCTCAGGAATTCTTTTGACTCTTACTATACATTCAAAGCATTGCTAATAAAATGTACCAGAATTAATTATGAAATGAAAGTTTAACTTCAAAGCTGTCATATTTTAATATCATAATCTAAGTCAACATTCACAGAACAATTTAAACAATCGAGTATTTACAGTTTTGCAAACTTTTTAAAAAAAATATGCAGAATGCAATGCTAAACAAACACTACAGATAGCAGCTCAAAATGTCACTTCCCCATATATTTAATCAGGACAAGTGCTAAAAGCAAGTAACTACTGATAAGAAACAGCCATGACAGAAATGACTCAGCAGAATCCTCCTCAACCTGTACATCTCCTCTCACTGATCTTCCTTTATAACCAAAATACATTTTCATTGATAAAAATTAGATGTGAGGTAAAAAAGCAGCGAGATGTTTGATATCATAACTATCATTAAGGTAATTCAGTAATTTAAAATTTATAAAAGATGGGTTAGATCATAGAGAGAGGTCTGGTGGGTGGCAAGCAGTGCCAACCTCATTATCCAAATGATGCATATATTCAGTGATGAGAAAAACAAAACCCAAACTCAAAACATCTGAAAATTAAATTAACAAACCCCCCTCCCCCCCAAACTGCTTTACCTGCACGAAATTCTTCAAACGTGACAAACAGCCCATCTGGCCAGAGCTGGTCACAGCTTCAATCCTGCAGAAGTAACAGCACCTTTCAAAATCTATTTAGAACGTTGGGTTTGATTCACAAGTGGGTGTGGGGGTGGATGGCAGGGATTGGAAAACATGGATGAGTCACTTCAGAGCGAACACCAACACTCCTAACCCCAGCTATCATACCTTGGGATATAGGATTTCTGGATAAAGAACATTGTTTTCCAGAACTGAATCCCATACTGCTTCATCAGAGCATTGCCACACACCTGTGATACAGAAAGGCACGAAGTGCAGGTTACACAGTTGGTTTTCAACTTGCATGACTGCTGCAATGAACCTGCTCCACACCAATGCCTTAATGCTTTATTCAAGACATTTAAAGAAATACACCTACACTGAAACAAGCAAATCCCCCAAATGCTATTTGGAGTGTTATGCTACCATAATCACCTTCTTTCCTGTTATATGAATCTTGACATCCTTCATTTCACCTCAGTCTCCCTCCAAAAATAGTTCTGTTTCCTAACACCATTTACTGGGGCACACTGTGGTCATTTCCCCACTGTGATTACTGCTGTGAGCAGTGATTCATCAGCTTTCTACACACAGTTTACAGAACAAATGTTCCTCTGACTTCATCACCCCAACAGAATCCCCCATGGGGTATTTCAATTCCCATTCTCTCATTTGTACTTTTACAGTTCTTCAGAAGATTTGAGAGCAGAGAAGCTGCTTGTGTTCAACAATATTTGTGTCCCCTGACTTCTGCCTTCAACTGTGGCTCTTATTTAGCACAGGCCTATTATCTTAGGAGAGAGGATTAATATCCATCAGGCTCTGACCTTTTCAGCCTGAAAAATCTATCTTGTTTTATGAACTAATTTGGCTGGAGCAGCCACAGGACCTCCTTGCACAGTACGAACTGCCAGGTATTTAGAACAGACCTTATGTAAGACCATACAGCTATTTTTAAAACACCAGAAACCTTAAACAGAATCAAATACAACATGAGAATTTGTGTTTATAGAAACTTCAGTTTTGAAATCATTCAGCTCCAAAGCTGTATTTGCAAGAATGTGGATATATTCACATTCCTTTCTGAAGAAATAAGAACAAGTTAGAAAAGCCTGCTGTGAATCTCACCTCAGCAATCCCTCCAGAACCCCAAAGGGATATAAACTGGTGACATTTAACTACTAACAGTTATCCACACCACTTACTTCCAGGAAATCCAGAAGCAGCATAGCTGTCACATCTGCCAGTGGCTCCAGATTCAACATCTGTGCAAGCCAGCGCCATCCATAGCTCAGACCATGAGGATGTGCCTACCAAGCAACAAAGAAGCTACTCATCACTTGCTTTATGACTTGTAAAACACAATTATCAAAACACACAGTTTTCTGATTGACTTTTCTCTTTATAAAACTTGGTCACTGTGAAAACATAAAGGAAGTAAAAGTTCACACCATTAATTAGCATTGCTTTGTTCATCATGGTTATGGCAATTTTCCTTCAAATATATCCTGAGCTAGTTTAAATTCAGCACACCTCAATTACAAAACAAGCTTCCAATACATTTAATAGACTCCTGGGATAGTAACAAGGCTCCAAGTATAAAGCTACACACATACCCCTTGTTTGTTCCCATAGGGCCAGCGGAGCTGAATGATGGCAGCATAGAGACGAATCATTCCTGACATCCTTTTAAGAAAATGATCCTGTTCTTCCACTTTAGAATCATGAACTTCATATCCAAGCATCCTTAGTATGAGAAAACATTCTAGTTTTAGTACAGCAAAACACATTCACTGCAGTCCCTGCAGCTCTCAGCTTACTTGAAGCCAACTCTACTGAGAATAGGGATTCTCCAAAAACATGCAAGAATTACTGCAAAGGCTGATCATCACCCTCTGGATCATATGTTCCACCATTTGGTGAGGCACTGGAACAGGTCACAGAGAAGCTCTGGCTGCCCCATCCAAGAAAATGCTCAAGGACAGGGGGTTGGAACAAGATGGATTTTACACACTTGTGAGTGAACCTCCAGACTCAATGCCTACGTGCTCAGGAATGGGGGAAAGTGGAGTTCACTCAAAATAGTCTTCACCCTTGCAGGGTTCATGGAGAAAAAGTCCAGTAGTAAATTTACCTCTGATACTCTTCCACAGAAGTCCCTTCTTTCCGAGCAGGGTAAAATGGCACAGAATATGGGCACTTTTTGTGCAGATGAGCTAAAAAGATGTCTCCAACTCGAGGGTGTAATTCCCAGATTCCTGAGAGCACCACAGCAATTGGGAAAGCTGACTCATGGTGAAAAGATACTTCTCCTTCCCCATGTTTCTGGAGGGTAGAAAAGGAAAGTCAGCCACCACTCTTTCAAGTAATTTCTCAGAAAAAAAAACGCTCCTCATTTCTGTAGTTAGCCTTTACTAAAGAATCTGAATGTTTCCATGGCTATGAACCAAGGATAGAAAAGCTGATGAAGCCACCTATCCTCAGCTCCCACAGAGGATGACAATAAACTGTGGTTCAGGAGAGAAAAATGGGATTAGCAAACACAGGCTTAAAGTGCAGGCTGCACAGATATTCTCAACCCAAAGAATCACTTTCAAGTATTTACAAATTAGTCACAGTTTTACTCCATGGGTTGATTTTTGCATTTTTGGAGAAAAGTTTCAAACCGCCCAAATTTAGAAAATAAAAGACAAGAGAAAAATACTGCCAACTTCAAAAAACAATTTAAACTTCATTTCTTGAGAGGTGTTAACAAGAAAGCAGGGACTGAAGTCTGCCTCTTGAGCCTTAGTGTTGGGGTTTTGTGTCCACCAAGTTCTGCCATCATATAAGGTTTGAGCCTATATACATTTTTGTGATACACCATAAATTAACTATCAAACTATTTTCCACAACACTGTACCTACCTAGTTCAAAATATGTAAGATGTAAGCCTGAAATTTAAAAAGAGTTTTTCCTCCCAGAAGAAATAAAATAAGGGTTGGAAGTGAAAGAGAAAGTAAGTTCTTTCACTGCATTCATACAGGCAAACTGAACACCCAATGATTTTGTTCTTCAACGCTGAAGAGACAGTTCAGTGTCCAAGAGCACGGGCCACCTGTGCCACCCCAAAGAAGAGATTTCCTCACCACAAACTTCTCTGCAAGTTTGTAGCAAACAAACTCCAGCCCCTGTGGATGCTGAGTCACCGACACGGACTGCCCTTCAGTCTGAACAGGCTTCCCAGACAGCAGGTTATTGATCTTGTCAAACACCTCTCTCAGCTTAGAGCCTGCAAATACATTAGGAATGCACAGAGACACAAGATAAGGGAACAGCAGACAAGGCTTACCCAGAATACATCAAGCTCATCAACGCCAAACCTACATCCCAAAGGGCACCTTTGCTCCATCTGATTAACCAAACATAATCCTGATGAAGAAAGATGCTTCTGAGGGAAGAAACAGGCCTTCAAAACACAAGCAAACCCTCCTGCACAGACAGGCTGTGTGCAGGTCAGCTTTCTGCTACAGAAACACTTGATATGCCTGTGCCCTCATAAAATCTTTAAAACAAAAGGAATTTCAGTGGGATTGAGCTTTTGGTGTTTTCCTGACCTGATATGCTAGAGATCTGGCTCACAGGGATTGTAGCTGCTTTCTGCAAGTTTGTTTTTATCTTCTTCACCTGAGAACAAAGAAACAAACAACTTTAAAATCCTTTCCAAACAAGTACATATATGTGTGTGTATATATATATATATATATATAATAGTTTGGAGCAGAGTGGTAACAGAGGCTGCTACAATACAGTTTTAAATTTTTTTAATGAAAGTTATCCTATTTACCTAGAAATTAAGATAATCTCTCTTCCAGAGTATTAATAATTTGTTCATACCTCAGTGTTGCCTTTGCAGTTTCCAATTTCACTGAAAGCAGCAATGCATTGCTGGGCAGCATCCTGAAGCTGCTGGTACCACTGCATGATACTTTCTTCAGTTTTAACCTGAAGCCCTGTTATTAAAAAAACCAAAAAGATAAGTAAGAAAGACCTAAACCTCTAGTGAGAAAACTCACTTTAAAAAATGCAAGTCAAAGGAATAAAAAAGATTTTTAAAAAAGCCTAACCAACCTTCCTTCTGCTGCTTTTCCCCTGACTGCTGTGCAGAGGCAGGAGTCTGACTCTTCATCTGCTCTTTCTTCTCTAACTCCTTCTGCTTTTGTTTCTTTTCCTCTTCATCTTTCCTCTTCTTTTCTTCTAGAGCTGCAGCGATTTCCTGCTGCATGCTGGCTATCAGTCCTCGCATCTCCTGCAGGGCTCGTTCAGTGCTGGCCACATCTGCTTGAGTTGGGAACCCTCTCTGCCAAGAAACATGAGAGGTAACACAGCATTAACCTTTGGCTCCACTGTCAGAGGGCCACCAGCAAGCACAAGGAGCCTTTGAAGCATTTGCCTTCAGATAACCTGGGAGATAACTGTGTGTTTTAACCCCATCTCCTTTATTTGTACATAACATTGGTCATAATATTTGTAAATAATACAAGTCCATGACTAAATCTCCTAAGGTCTTGGACAACAAAAATTAAGAATACACTTGGAGAAGTGCAAGTGAACTCCAGTGCAAAGCCTTGACAGCTCCCTCTGCTGAAAGCCAGCTGTGACAAGCTGGAACACAGGATTAGCCTTATTAGCACTGTATCTTTCAAGACTTGTATCCCATCCTAGAACGAAAAAATGTCAAGGAAAGCCAGCTACTGCAGAAAAGCTCATGAGGAGAGGAGAATCATAAGATGTTCAGTATTTAACAATTCATGAACCAGTCCACTGTCACAGAGGGAACTATACAGCACCAAGAATTTACAGCAATTTAATTTGAATCTTTCTCCTGTAGAAGCTCTCATGCATTTTGATAAGCCATTTTCAAGAGAACAGCTGAAGTGCCAGAGGAAAGAATTCCCCTTTGAAACTGGGTGTTTTATAGGATGAATATCTAAAAACATTGCTGCGACATCTTATTTAAGGGCCTCATGACAAGCTGCCTTTGAAGACAACTACAGAGAGCTTTATGAAGGAACGACAGCGCAAGTTCACAACCCCAGAGCCTGTACCTCGCTCGTGGTGCGGATGAGCCCTGACACCAGCCCACAGATCTGGTTGCCACGATTGCTGTACGCAGACAGATCGATTCTGGGCAAGTCTTTGTGCCGGTAGTTGGGATCAATCTGCTGGTTCAGCTGCAGCAGTTCCTCCTGGATGGAATAAAGGCGACGCAGCCTCTCCTGGCCCTCCTCCTTGCGCAAACGTTCCAGCTCTTCCTGGCGCTGCCTCTGCTGCTCTGCCTCACGCAATTTTAGGTTCAATATCTGGGGAGACAAAGACACAAGAGTAATAAAATACCTCAATAACTCTAGTTGTACAGTTCCTTCCCGGTCTGATGGCTCCAGCTTTACAGGGCCTTCCTGTTCCTAGGACAGAAGTGCCTTTAATGCATTTCCACACTGCAGCAGGTGCCCAGGACAGCACCAGAAAATCCACGCCCACTTCAGAGTGTTGTGAAAATACAAATAAAGCAATTGGTCTTTCCAGTTCCCACCCAGAAGTCATGGTCTTTTATGAAAGACAATTCTTACGAGTCTCAGACCTTTGCTCTATGTCGGTGTTCTTCCTTCAACTTCTCTTGCTGCCCCTGAGCCTCCTTTGAGCTACAATACATATAAAGACAGAAAAACTGTATTCAAGACATTCAGGAGACAAAACACAAACCAACACACAGGAAATTTTTCTTAAAACAAGCTAAAGGAACTTTAGCTATCACAAATGTTGTCTTTTTCTAACCACTGAAACCTCAACAACAGCCAGACATCTACTCTGACAGCCAAACTCTAACAGGATAGTTAATGTAAGACAAACAGCAGGTGAAATTTCCAACCAAGTGACTAGCATAGAATTGTCAGGAACAGGAATTAACCTGCACTTTGATTAAATGCTATAAAATTCTAGTGATACCAGAGGTAATCTCACCTCTTCTCCATTACTTCTTGCAACTCTTGGAATTCCTGATGCCGCTTCAGCTCCCTCAGTTCATCAAAGCGCTTCAGCTGCTCACTGGCCTGGGCATAGGCTGCCCTCACCATCTGCTCCTGCTCCTCCTGCCGCTGCCTCAGCCTCTCCTGCATTACAGAGGGGCACCAAAGGTAGCCATTGAACAATGTGGACAGAAGAAAACACAAACCAAACTGCCCAACATTTATAACTTGCTGTCCTTGCACCGTTATCTCTGACTCCTGGGATTCACTGACACCCCCTCAATCATTTTTTCTTACCTTTGCTTTCAGCCTGTGCATCTCTTCGTACATCCGAATGCAGCCTTCGACTTTTGCAACTTTAGATGACAGAACTGCTGGAACAACTTCTTGATTCATTTCCAGGAGACTAAGATGATCACTTTCCTGTATGGCCAGCATAAAAACAAAATCAGTGTCTAAGCACAGGATCAGCAATTCATGGAGGAAAACAGATAAAGCAAGTCTCCTAACTATTATTTGCCCAGCTTCCTACCCTTCTGCCTCGTAAAATAGGGTCAGAACCCATTTTACTTTACCATAGGGTAAGTCACTCAAAAGACTCCAGAGAACCCAGTGTGGTTACTCATGGAGTTTTACAGCAGCTCTGACCCTCCTCTGTGACCTTATGGATGAATCCTGTGCTGCTAATCCACAACACAACAGAGCTACAACTATTTTCCTCAGTTATGGTGAAAAATTGAGTTTGCTTTGGATCTACTGTGAAACATTTTTCTATGAAAATCTTGTTAATACTAACTTTATCGTCACCTGTTCGTACTACAAAAAAAATAAAACTAAAGATGTTTTCCCCATAAATTAACAGAGCACAAACCAGTCTTGATCTAACAATTTATGACAGCAAGTTAGGATTTTTTTTTCCCTCACAGCTGCTCCATAAGCATATGGATTATAATCAGAGAGCTACCTTGGTCTCACTGGGCTCCGTAGATGAAGGTGGTGAAGAGCTCTGGTGGCTTCCAGGCGGGACCTTCTCCGCAGATGCCCGTTTTGGGAGTGGAGTGGATTGTTTGGGCGTTGAAGTCCCGGAGGGTGCGATTTCCTGTGCTAATTGCCCACTAAGGCTGTCCAGCACCCAGCCGCAGTAAGGGGAGAGCTCAACGGGTGCCACACATCCTTCCAAGGCAGCCTTGAGAGAAAACGTCCTCCGTGAACGCGGCACAGCCTTAATTTCAGTACAACTTTACCCCACCATGAACACATCTGCACAGTTAGTAGCTGCTTTATCATCGCAGCTCAGTATCCCATTTAACCCTTTTTTCTGCTGTCTTTCCAACACTTTTTCCGGACTATCCCACCTTCGCAGGACATTTGAACCCCCTCGGACCAGCCCCGCTCCCTCACCCCCCGCTCCCGAGCCTGGACCCGCTCTGGGGGTATTTGAACCCCCTCGGACCAGCCCCGCTCCCTCACCCCCCGCTCCCGAGCCTGGACCCGCTTCGGGAGTATTTCAAGCCCTGAGTGTCACCGGGATGAGCGGTCGGTGTTTCCCAGCGGGCAGGGCCGACTCCCGGGGCGCGCCCTCACCTCATCCTCCTGCCAGTGGCTGCAGTAGCTCAGCCGGCCCTTGCTGGAGAGGCGCAGGGCCTCCAGAGTGTCGAAACGCAGCTGCCACGACTCCATGACGACCCCGCACTGGCCCAGGGGCTCCCTCACGGCCCCCGGCGTCCCTCACGGCCGGGCCGGCCCCTTCCGGGCCGCGATGACCGCATCCGCCTCGTGCCGGCGGGAGGGCTGTGGCCGCCCCCTGGCGGAGAGGCGGGGCCCGGCCCGACGCCGCGGGTTCGAGTCCCGCCCCCGGCAGCGGGGCGCTAAGGACGCGGCCGGGAAACAGCCGCAGGTTCACCGATTTCCCACTTTTTCTGTGTGTTCTTGCCCAGGGAGGGCTGGACCCGCCTTGTGAGGTCGCTCAGCCCCGGTCGCAGAAGCAGGGGGAAAGCTGCACCCGTGAACCACAGAAACAGTTTGGAATTCAGCTGCCTGCACCAACAGCCCTGGGATGTGTTTGCTTTTTCAAACTCACGCACAGCACCTCAAGAGGAAATCCCCACCATAACCAATTAAAATGTAGTTTATTGCTTTCTTCCCCAGCACTTCTGGGATTTTTAAACACGCACAATTACAGATCTTTTGAACTGATTAGTTTAGAAAACTTTCATGGCAAATACTGCCAGTGACCACATCACATAGCATATAAATAGGATACAAAAGACAGAAAAATAGAAACAAGGTTTATTTTTGTCTCCCTAAGAACCATTTAGTAGAAACAATAGGACACTAGAGAGCACATGGACTTTAGAGACTTGAAACACAAAAGACCTGATTTTCCAGAAGGTGCAGGAGAATTTGATGAAGTTGAATATCTCCAGCTGTTCCTTAGCTGGCTTAAGGCAAAGTCAGGATTTCACACACCCCCAGAACTCACATGGAATTTGCACCAAGATCCCAAATGAAATGACACTGATTTCCTTCAAATTTAATTGTTTTGGCTCAGTCCTGGGTGGGTATAGTCAGGATCAGAAAATCAGGGTAAGAGGAGTAAAGCAACATTAGCATCACACTCACAAATAAAGGTAAGGATCAGGAGTATACAAGAATCAAGTATAAAAAAACCAAACCAAACTCATAATTTCTGGTATAAAATTGTTACAAACACTGTGGTTGTGCAGGAGATTATCTCCTTGTGAGTGTAGAGCCCAAGCACCTCAGTTATTTTCAGCATCACACCAACAGTATAAAAAATTATTTTAAAAAAATCCCACATGATCTCCCCAACAGAGAAACCGAATAAGAAGTGAAGCACAAAAAAAGCTCTTACAAGAATTAACACACTCAACAAACCTCTGACAGGTTTTAAGAGCTGAAACCATCATGACCCAACAGGAGGAAAAGGATCTTTTCCATTATATGCAAAACCACCTGGTTCTGGGACTCAGTTTATGGTGTAACACCAACCTCCAGCACCAAACCAGTACTGCTGATACCCCACATTTTGATCAGATGCCAACATCATTTTATTTTGTCATTCTACAATAAAAAAACCTCCCAACAGTGACCCTGAAATGCCAACCAGTTTTCTATATCAATATGGCTTTTGAAACAAAGCTCCTACTCTGTGCTTAAAAAAGGTGCAAGCAAAGCATTGCTCTCACAGAAGACAGCGAGTGTGGCTGGGGGAGCCCAGAAAAGCACTTTCCCTAAAAACGTTGTCGTAGGAAGACTTGAGGAACTGGACGTAGTTCTGCATGCTGCGGTTGGTGCTCTCCGACTGCTCCAGCCGATCCCGCAGGTCCTGGAGGCGGCTTTCGAATCGGCGCTCTGCCTGCACAGGGGAGCACAAACCCGGCTGAAAGGCAGCAACATCCACCCTGTTCATGTCAAACTCTTCCCCCAAAGTGCTGAGGAGAGCCAGAATTAGCACAGCAGGAGATGAGATTACCATAGATGGTGCTGTGATATTTATAATTTCTGCTCGTTCCCAACTCCATTCAGCAGCCCGCTGATAAAAGCAGGAGACAATGTGGCTTATCAGTTGGGCTTTTAAAATGTATTAGCTGTAGTTACCGGGAATGAAACACACCCTCTTCTGAAAAGCAACTTGACCTGATCCATCAGATAACACAATTCCAAGTAAAACTAAAGCAAGGAAACAAGGTAAATAGGACATGACAAAAGATTGTCAGTCTTTCCTCTAGAAGAGAAATTACACTCTCTCTGATATAGGCGAAATGAAGTTGAAATCTGTCCAGGATACCTGGTGCAAATATCCTTTGAACAGAAGGAAAGTCTGATTCTTTTCTTACACACACATAACTTTACACCAGGTTCATTCACATCATTGTGCTCTGACTTGCCTATCACTCACTGGACAATCCTGAACTGGTGACAGCAGACACGTCCTATGTCACACACGCATGGACACACACAGCAGCACAGCACATTCAGGCACAGCTCTGCATGACTTCAGCAGCGCATCCACAGGATGATTTACGGAATCCAGTTGTTGCCAGGGCACCACCAGTACAGCAAGAGTATCCCCCACAAGCCACTCACATCCTCTTTGCTCCGATGCAACTGGTTCAGCTCTGTTTTACTCCTGCTCAGCTGGGTCTCCAAATCCAACACCTTGGACTGGGCTGCCCTCTCTCTGGAGACCGCTCGTTCTCGAGCTTGTTCCACCTATACAGAACAACAATTTTGTCAAAGGTGTGTCTGTGGAACAATGTTTTTTCCCTACCCACTGCCCACAAAAGCCCTTTAAAGTTTAACTGACCCATTCTCATACATAAACAGCAGCTCAGTGTAGTGCTTTTCTCTGCTGCAAACCAAATTCAGTTCTTCAACAGTGCTGACAAACGGCACCAGCACATTATTTATATTTCACTGAACATGATGTTTTTAATGGGTTTGGTCATAAGCTGAGAAGATATTTTCAGCATTCTCACTGTTCTCCTTTCACAGCCTGGGTAGCTTTGGGTGAATTCACAAACATGAGAAATTACTCACTTGTTTTTTGGCATCCTCAATGGCCATCTCCAGCTGGCGTGCCAGGGAGCTGCACTCACGGCTCTTCTCCTCCAGCCGCAGCTGACACTGGTGGATCGACTCCTCACGTTTTGCTATGACCTGAAGGAATTCTATGTTCTGGGCACTCGTGGACTCTAGTTTTCTAGTTTAAGACAATAAGGGAAGGAAACCTATTCATTTTAAATGGAGTGTGTTTCATTCTGCCTTTTGTCAGGTCCTGACTCCTCTGGTAATAGATTACATTCCCACCTGAAAGGTGAGAGCCCCAGGAAACAGTTCTCCAGTCCTCAAATCAAAATTTCAAATATTGAAGGACCAACAGAGTACCCATATACCTGCATTTTCTGAGACATTGTCATTAAAAGAAATGTATAAACATAGGTAAAAATACTGTAATATCTAGTAACCTCAGAATTGCCAGGCTAGATTAGACAAGGAGCTGGTTTCTTTGCTGTCTAAGCCATCATCCTGCCTAACAACATTCACAACAGGTGCTGCTGCAACAGCATATAACTCTCAGTGGACAGCTACTGATTAGAGAACCTTGTGGGATAGGCAAATGCACAGAATCCTGGAGGCATGTGGGGAACTGGAACAAGACTGAAGCTGTTTCAATCCCCTGTAAAAACAATGGAAATGGAAGGTTAAAAAAGCAAGAGAGCCTAGTATTTCTAACCTTTCTAGCTCCTCCACCTTCAAGGTGAGTTGCTTTTTCTCCTCTTGGGCAGACTGATATCTCTCTCTTGTCATCTCCATTTTGTCCCCCTGGAGGTCAATCTAAAAATTACAGGAATTAATTACTTCACATAGTCGTCACTACACACACACACATGTCCAACCACCTAAAACATACGCAGCTCTCAGAAGGAAATATGTTCCATTCATAACTTCTGGAGAGCTTCAGAAAGGGAACCATGGATAGAAAATAACTAAACATCCATTTTGCTGATGCTTCCACTTACAGTCTAAGAAGGTGTAGGAAAACTCATCTGTACTGAAAAAGAAAAACCAGGCCTGTAAATCCCTGCACATAGAGCAGAGCTACAAGCCAAGCACACACACTAGAACAGCAGCCACAAACATGCCAGCAGCCCACAACAGCATCAGAGCCTGAAACACCAGGGAGGTTTATAATTCCAAACCAAGCAGACTAAAATGGTCAGACAGAGATCATGTGGTGTTGTGAGGCACAGCTGTAGATGTCATCCCCATCTGAAATTGTCCTGCAATACCTACACAGTGTTTCTGGGAACAAAAAACAGAAACTGGGAAAACAACCTGAAATCAGAGTGAGAAAACGGTTGGGCCAGCACCATCACCAGAAAACTACAGGAGGGAAAGCTGACAAGAGGATGAGGTAACAGAAACAAGGGCTGGCATTAGCAAGTGCTGCCATGGCTGCTAACAAGTCCCAGAAAGATTCTGCACCAAGGGATGAAGAAACCTTTCAAATATTAAGGAATGCTACCAGCAAAGCCGCTAACTTCTTGCACAAAGACATGGCACACACCTTTATTTTGCAGTGCACGTTTAATCTTTTCAAAAAGAGACGAGAACAGAGACGAAGTTTGAACCTTGCTGTGATTAGAAATTCAATCTTTCCCAGTTGAGCTTTGCACTGGTATGGGTACTTTCTGCCAGTCCCTTACCAGCTGACGGAGGTCTGAAATCATGCCACACAGGTCCGTGTTCTTCTTCTCGTAACACATGAGCTGTTGATGGCACTCCGCCAGCTGTGTCTCAGTGTACTTCAGGATCTCAGGCAGCTTTTCCAGTTCAGAAATCTGGCTCTGGAACTTCTCACGAGTCTGTAATCAAAGAAGAGAACGTAAGGAACTTTCAAATGTTCATAAGATCAAGATGAAAAAATTTCTCGACTTCCATGAGGCTTTGTGAGTCCACAAACATGATGACATTGTGTGGGTATTTGGACAGTGCTGGAGTTCAGAGCCTAAGGTCTTTTCCTGCTCCAAAAAGCTTTCACTTAGGATCTGGAATTCCCTATGGATTGTGTAAGAATGAGTATTTTGGATTATGGGCTTCAATTTTACTAGAAGTACAAGCTCTGCTTCTGAGGTCAGCTGTTCCACATCAGATAACGGTGTAACCTACCTAATCCACTGTTCAAAAGCACTATTTCTGCAGCAAAGGACACACTAATAATTTATACACCTCTGAAGAATGCCATATAGTCAGAAAGAAGCTGCTAAATGTTCAATCTGCAAAACCCATTGAACAAGCCCTGAGAAAAAACTGATGCAAAAGGCAGAATCAAGACAAGCCTTTTATTTCCTATTCAGAGCTGTTTTTCACTAGATTCAGAACACTAAGACCCATGAATATCTACAAAATGTCTTTAGAGGGATAGTTACCTCGTCAATCTCCCTCCTCATTTCATCCTTTATTCTCTGGTTCTCTTTTTCACACTTCTCCAATCTTGCTGCCAGCTCATCTGCATCCTTTCGGGCCATCTGTGCCTGGACATTCAAAAAAAGACCCAGACTTCATCTGTTATAAATAGTTTTCAACACACCTTTGCAATGCCTTAGAGTAATTGAAACTGTTCCAGCTGGCAATAGCTAAGGGATTACAGAATAAGCCACAGTGGAAGGAGAAAACACCTTTGTACAAGGGCTGAAGGTTCTGAGACCCACCTGTGCTGTGTAGGTTTCAATCAACCCTTCGTAGCTCCTGACAGAGCTCTGGAGATGTTGCAATTCCATCTGTCCTTGGTTCAGCTTGTCCTCCATTGAAATCAGAGCAGCCTGAAAAAAAGAAAACATCTTCCATTGAGTGCTCGGAAGCACCTGCCATGTGAGCTGTCAAATGTTGCCTGGACTAAGAAAATACAGTTTTGTCCACGCAAGTTGCCAAAACTTTTCAGACTTCAGTAGACTGCCAGTAATAATTCCACCTTCTTTTCCTCCTAGCATTTAATCTTCAAACCCTCAGAGTCACTGACCTTTAGTTTTTCATTGTCTTTCTTTAAAGCGTTGTTCTCTCCAGTCAGTTGCTGTACTTTATCTACCAAAGCTTCGTTTTCGTCCCGTGTCTGTTCCTGGATCTTTGCCAGTTGTTCCACCAGGTCTGCAACACGGCTACCACACAGAAAGAAAATTAATCCTTAAGTGACAAGAGGAGTAAGGCTCCTAACCTTTGAAAACTAGCCTCAGAAACATGGCTTTTCCCTATCCTTTCATTTTCCTTCTCCAGTCATGTATGCACACCTCTCTGTTAACACTGTTTGACTACTTCAATCTTTTTATACCATCTGGAAATTCACTGGAGTTGTCCCCTTGGAGCTCAAATGAATTGTCTCAAAGATGCACAGGATAAAGATATGCCTCTCTCACCTCATACCTACTTAACTTTTCCTTACATCAACATCTGTACTGCAGTGATACCAAAATATTTACCTTCACAACAAAACTGGCATCAACTATACTACTTATCTCTTTTCATATCTTCCATTCCAGTTATTCAAAAAGATCTCAAAACAAAAATAATCTTAATTGAAAGCATTACAAAATGGCAAAAGAAAAGTTTTAAGAGTCAGCAAAGCTTAAAGAGTCTGCCTTTGCTGTGGCAAGTCAGCAGCAGAAGTCACATGTCTCTCTCCACCTCTTCAAACTCTGCTCCAGCCCTTAGGCAGTGCTGGTTTTGCTTTGTTATTTACAAGCAATCCAATTAAAATATTAATTTCAATGCTATTGTTCAATTAAATTATCCTTGAACTTTGAACTCATCCCCACTCATGCTTCCTTCTCTGCACTGATTTTACTCTAACCTGTTCAGTGTAACGACTTCCAGTTCAAGGTCATCCTTCTCCTTCATTGCTTTGCTGCAGCGATTCCTCCAGGACTCGAGATTGCACTGGGCCTCAGCAACAGCGCTTTCCTGTCAGACAAGGGAAATACAAGAGGGAAAAAAAGTAAGGGAGAAGGCAAAATCATCACTGGTGTGAGATATGCAGGCAATACACAGAGATGCCCTTAACTTAGGACATGCAGTGAATACAGTGACAGCTGAGCAAACTGGATTTGTTCTAAACTTGGCATAAATGGGCCATGGCATCAAGACAGAAATAAATTTCATTAGTCTCCCCAGGGCTGCTACTAGAAGTCAACAATTTAAAAGCATGACCTCAAACTAGGCCTCTCCTGTTTCAGCCAGGTACCTTTTCTGCTAGCTGGGCAGTCAGTTTCTGCACATACTCCTCATTCCGCTCCGCCCGCTCTTTCTGTGCACGGACTGCTTTCTTCAGGGCCTCTTTATCACACTCTGATTTGCACCTCAGGTCTTGCAGCTGCTCCAGAAGAAGCTCCATCTCTCCCTTAGTCTGATTTTCACTGGCCTCTGTATTCTGCGGGGGAACAAAACCCACCATGGATTAATGTCCATATTACACCTGCAAACCCAAAGCAGCAACTAATTTCCTAGAAATGGTGATGAGAACCAGGCACAAATCCCCACTGTTCAGCCTGGAGGTATTTGCAGCCAGGTTTCACCTACACAATCCTGTCTAAATGCTGAAAGAGATGGCAGCATGACATCTTCCTTTTCTTCCAAGAGTCTTCCCTTCTTCTTTCTGCTGCTTCCTAAAATACTGATTTCTCTCCTGACCAAAATAAATACTGTTTTAACAGTCTTTTGATCTACCTGAGAAAACTGTTTTTATTGATGAAATGTTTGCGTATAACAATGTTGCTTTATGCAGCTCCTACTAGAACAGATTAAAGCTCCTCTAAACTATTAACACATTTATGTTCCTTGTAAAAAACATCCTCCCAACATATGCTAAATATAAAAGTCTTATCAAAATAAACCAGAGGAACTTTCTCCTCCTCATTTATACTAGAGAACAGATGAATGAGGGTGATCAAACTGGCACAGCATTTTTCCAAAAAATCAAATGAAATAGTTTCAGTTTGTCTTGATGCTTGACTAAACCAAAGCCATCTTTTCAATAATTATGGAGTAACTAACTTAGGAAAAAGAAAATCCAATTAATGTACATAGACCTGTAGGCTAAGATTTTGCCTCATGCCTCAAAAGTGAAAAGATTTCTCTTTTCTTACTTAATTTGAAAATCACGCTGTGTGCTAATGCCATAAACATCACCAGCCAATATTTCAGTCAACCAGACTCTGTAAGAAGCTTCTGCTACTCCCCGTGTGAGTGAATTCAGTCCCTGGGAGCAAAGGAAGAGTCAGTCCCCAGGGAGCAGTGCAGACATACCCGCAGCTGTGAGGTCAGACGGCTGTTCTCAGCGTCTCTGCTCCGCACCTGGGCTTGTAAATGGGCTTTCACAGACTCCAAGGATCTGGCAAGTTCAAATGCTTTCTTTGCCTGTTCCTATAAGCAGGAACAAGACAAACACGTTTTTACTCAACAAGCTAATAGAAGGAACACTTTATAATATGCAGTAGTAATCTCAGATTTCTTCACTGAATGATCTCCAGCCACCTCCAGGTGGACCCTCACAGTTCTTCTAGTCCAACAAAAAGGGACCAAATGAGCAGCCATTGATTTTACAACACACGTGAAGGACTGGCCTGAAAGGTATATTCTAGAGCAAAATAGCCTTCATAGCTGATCTCTTACACTGCATTTCCACTTTACTTCCTAAACTAAGGAACTGATTGGAATTTGCCATTGGGAACAAACAGGACCTTAAACAGAATGGCAATTCAGCGCCCAAGCAAAGAGAATTCTGCCTATCCATCCTTGTGTCACACATCACAGGTGTCTTATTAGCAGAATATGGAACCCACAATGGTGTGAGTATTGATATTGGCCTGGTTTTATAAGCAAGCCAGTCACCTGATCACAAAACAGCAGTCTGTAAACAACCTCATCTTTTGGACTGCCTGTGGTTTTACAGAACTGGAAAGTAGAAAAGAGAGGGGAAAATAGAAAAACTAAATTACCTTTTCTGCCACTATTTGAAGTGTGAGGGTTTCCACTTCCTTTTCTTTTCCCTGAAGTCTGATCTGAAGTTGCTGGAAAAACAAACACCATGTTCAGGAACAAATGTAGATGTAGGATGGCAGGTAGAAGGCAAGAGGTGTAACTGCCTCCCTGTCAAGACCACCTGATCTGTGGCATGGTTTGTTATCCACAACAACAGCAAACTCATCCCCAGAAAAACAGGATGCATTCTACTCAAGCAGGAAGCAAAAGGGATACACATAAATTTGTGCAAGAGGGCACAGGATATCCAGTCAGGACCACATACACTCCACAGACTAAAAAGAGCATTTACCTACGTCTCACAGTTTTGTAGCTTCTGCAGATGCAAGAACTCTTGTCTCAGTTTACAGAGAAGGAAATTAACAAAAACTGGCACAAGGTAACTCATTCAGTAACAGAGCCCAATACACAGAATTATTCCCATTCTAATCCCCCATATTTCAAAGGCAATGAAAATTCATCCACTTTTAAATGCAGGTTGTTAACCAGAGGAGCAATGTAATAGCTCTGATTACTACAAAAGCTCAAATAATTATTTTATTGACCTAAAAGGCACTAGAGTAAGATTTGACAGTGGAATATAAGACAAAGAAGGGCTTCTCATTTTAGATCTTTCTACTGCATCATTAAAGAAATGAGAGATTGTGGTTTGCTTACCATGTTCTCTGCATCTAAGTCAGACAGCCTTTTCAGCAGCATTGCTTGCCGATCCATTACCTTCTGGGCATCTTTCTACAAAATAAATATATGAGAAAAATTGTTAACTAAAAAGTCAATTTAATACAGGTTCTTTAAATGGAACTGGGAAAATCAACTATTTCCTCCCAGCTGCAGCAGCAATTCTTAGAAGATATACAGAAACATCTCATTCGTTAAATATTTCACGTATCATTATGCATCTCAGAAAGCTCTTCCACTTCCCAGTCAAAGATTAAAAAAAAAGCATGTAAGATCAATGGCAATGTAAGATCATTCTGAACTCTCCCACTACTCAGGGAAAGTAATGTGGAAGAATTCAGACCTTTTATCCAACCTCACTGATGGCTGAGGTAACTGTTACCACCAGCCTGATTTTGCTGAAATGGAATATAAACTACATAAAAACTAGAAATTTCATTTTTCTATTGCTCTTATGAACAGCAGAGAATGGTTCTGTACATGCAGCACAGAATTGTTTCCAATTTCTCTGTTGTTGCCCTCAGAGCCTACAAAATCAAAGTTCTGAATATCCACAGGCTCGCATTAGTTGAGGCCATATCAAGTCCTCAGACTCCAGCAATCCAAGTGCAGCAGCAGCATCTGAGACCAGCAGGATCAGCAGATACAGCTGTATCCAGAGGAGACAGCTGGCAGCACAGCAGGGCCTGAACCTTTTAATGCAGCCAAAGACTTAGAGGCTCTACTATCCTCAGAGAAGAAAAGCCAATCTCACTTTATGAATTAGGCAAAGATAAAGAAAAAAACCCAAATAAAAACTATCCAACATTTATGGGTTGACATGGTCTAGTGCAGGGCTGAGAAAAAGAGTTGAAAGATTTCAAACTCAAAATTCCCTTCCAGCCCACGAGACAACACAGCTTCCTGTAACCAGCCAGGTTCCATACCCAGCAGTTCTCACCTCCCGAGACTGATGCTCTGCAAGAAGTTCTCGGAGTGTCCGGTTGGTTTCTTCAAAGGTGCTCAATTTCTGGAGCAGCAGCTCTTTTTGTCTTGTAAGAGCATTTATATCAGTGCTACTCATGTGTTTCTCCTGAAGGAAAAACATTTTTTTTTAAAGTTAATTTGTTTGTTTAATAAGGTAATGAGAAAAACAAAACACAATAACTCAAAACCCATAAAACATAAACAAAAGGATGTAATTGTTCACTTCTGTGCAGAAGGTAACAGGAAGTAAATACCCCACTTTAAAACCAAACCAGCAAACACCTTAAGGATGTTAAGTTCCTCCACTTTTCCTTAGATTTTGCTGGATTAGCAACTATAACATTACTTTTTAAAGACAGCCATATAATAGGACAAGGTAGTAAAGGCAAGAACAAAAAGGGACACCTACAATGTTGAGTCTCCCAATGGTATTTTTCAGGGCATGGATCTGTCTGGCAGCTGCTGCTCCATCCCTTTCTGCTTCATTCAGCTTGGACAGCAAACACTCCTTCTCCTGCTGCAAGCACTCCTTCTGCAGCCTGCAAGGAGAATTCAGCCATCAGAGAAACATGAAGCTTTGGCAGCTTTACCAGAAACTATGGATATAGAGTTGATTGGGTTAAAATTCATAAAAAGCTCAAATCACAGGATAAAAGCTCTAAACAAAAACTGCTTACGATCTACCCTCTTTCAGTGTGGAAGCTGTTTTGAGAAAAGGCAGTAAGCAGACACCAGGAGCTTGCTAAGATCACAGCTATGACATTTAGAGGGAACAAATCAGGCTTATACCAGAAGTGAACACACTGCTAAACCCAAAACACAATGCTGTGCTTTTCCTGGGCACTTATGCCACACCAGGAATAAGACTCCAAATGGCCAAACAAAAAACAGAAGAGCACACCAAGATATACAGCTCAACATTTTTAGCCAGCACTTGTAATCTCAGAAGAATTCCCAGAGTTTTCTGAGAAAGGAATAGAAAATATTAACTTCCAAGTGATATTTCTTAAGGAAAACTAAAACTAACTCTCCTAAAACACTAATGTCTCCCTGGAGACATAAACTTCACTAATTCTTTAGATACAAACAGATGCAAAAATGTCAGACTTGCAGACCTTCAGGATCACTAAGAAAAAAGCCCATGGTTCAGTCCTCTCAGGGGCTGTCACTCCTGGCTCTGTATGATTTTTATAAAGGTAAAAAATTCTCCTCTAGTTTTCAGCTCCATGTTTATTCATTTATTGTTCTATCAATATCATCATGATACAAGCAGAATCCCTTAATCTTCAAAATACTAACGACAGAGCTAGCTGACCCTCCACACAAGCCAACTGCTCTCAGGTTCCTCTCAAAGTAGGGATTTTTTTCCATTCCAAAAATCATGCTAGAGCCCTTCTCTGCAGCTATTGCAACCTGGAACCCCCTTCTAAAAGTGACAAAAAACCAAGTGCATCAGTTCTTCAGCAGCAGCTACAACCTCTAATCATGTCAGCAGTAAAGAAGGGAGGTGCCTGTGGATACCACAAGTGCAGGGACAGTGAGAAGTGAAGCTTTCTTACACAGTCAGGTCCTTCTCCTCCTTTATGCGTTCAATGTTGCGCCGGAGCCGCGTGTTCTCATTCTCTGTTTGTACCAGCTCTTGTGTCACCTCATTCAGTTCTTCCTTCTGCTCCTCCAGGAGACGCTTTGTGATTTCCTCCTGCTCCTCCATTTGCTGCATCTTGACCTGAAGATATTGGAATAAAACTTAAACCAGATGCTTTGGAATTGATATACAGAATCCACATCCCAAATCAGTGAACAACTCATAGTCAATTAACTTATTCAAAGTATAAAAAAAAAGAAGTATCTCCTCCCAGGTGACAAGTGACAGGACATGAGGAAATGGCCTCAAGCTGTGTCAGGCGATATTCTTCATGGAAAGAGCTGTCAGGTATTGGAAAGGGCTGCCCAAGGAGGTGGTGGAGTCATCATTCCTGGAGGTGGTTCAAGGAACTACTGGACATGGCACTCAGTGCTCTGGTTTACTGAATAAGGTGGTGATGGATTAAAGGTTGGACTCAGTGATCCTGATGTCCTTTCCAACTTTTAACAAGTCCAAGTGCCAAATCCTGCACTTTTGCCTCAAAAACCCGCTGCAGTGCTACAGACTGGGGGCAGAGTGGCTGGGCAGAAAAGGACCTGGGGGTACTTACTGGTCAACAGCCAACTGAACATGAGCCAGCAGTGTGCCCTGGTGGCCAAGAAGGCCAATGGCATCCTGGCACCATTCCTGTTTCAGGAACAGTGTGGCCAGCAGGACCAGGGGAGTCATTCTTCCCCCATGGCACTGGTGAGGCTGCACCTTGAGTGCTGTGTCCAGTTCTGGGGCCCTCAGTTTAGGAAGGACGTTGAGATGCTCAAACACAAGGCTGGTGAGGGGCCTGGAACACAAGCCCAATGAAGAACAACTGAGGGAGCTGGGGTTCTTTGGCCTGGAGAAAAGGAGACTCAGGGGAGACCTTATCACTCTCTACAACTCCCTGAAAGGTGGCTGTAGCCAGCTGGGGGTTGGTCTCTTCTCCCAGGCAACCACTGACAGAACGAGAGGACACAAACTCAAGCTGCAGCAGGGGAAGTTTAGGTTAGACATCAGGAAAAAATTATTCACCGAAAGGGTCATTGGGCACTGGAATCATCTGCCCAGGCAGGTGGTGGAGTTACCATCCCTGGATGTGTTTAAAAAAAGCCTGGATGTGGCACTCAGTGCCATAGTTTAGTTGATGAGGAGGTGTTAAGGTCATAGGTTGGACTTCATGATCTCAGAGGTCTTTCCAACCTAGTTCATTCTGTGTTTCTTAATGATTCTGTGGTTCTAAAGTTTATTTTTGCTTTATAATCATGCAAGTAATTCCATTAAATTTTGTAGCATATATGAAATGGAAAATGCTTGATGTAAGAATCTACCTGACTCAAATCCTATTGTTGTTCACTGATTTGACATCCATGTAGTTTTGCGTAAAATAATAATACAGAATTTCCTACTCTGAGTGTTAACTCAACGTTAAAAATGCAGTTTACGCCCATCGTGATGCATCTTATGAGAGTTGGGAACATCTCCCACGTATTTTTTAAGTGGTGTCAAGTACATAAGAGCCTATTTGTCTGGAAAACACAACATCACTGGGTTGCACGTTTTTGAAACTGAATGAGAAGAAACAATCTCATTGAATAAGGGGATTTTTTGACAATAAAACATCAATGCATTGTATTTTTCACTTTCTGGAGACATCAGTTTTCAGATTTTGGGCTTGGGCTGGAGAGATTATTTGCAACCTAAAGCACAGCAATACCTTATTAAATTAATAATATTTTGAAATGTTTCATAATGTGGCTTAGTGAATTTCTCACCAGGATAGTTCAGCTATTCTAAACAATTCGGACTGATTTTCAAGCAAGCTACCAACAGCCTGGGCAGCCTTCCATTGCACCAAGACCTGCCTCCAGCCTCCTCTTGTCAAAAGATGAGCTACAAAGCCCCAGTCAGCAGGTCTTTCCACTGTCTCCTCACCTCTTTCTTCAGTGTTCCCACCATGCTCATCAGGCTGTCTATCTTCTTCTCATATTTGTTAATTTTGCAGCAAGCGGGATCATCGTCATCCGTGGAGAGGTCACTGAGGCGTAGTACTGACTGCATCCTGTCAGACTCAGCGTTAGGTGTAGCTTCCAGGCGTTCACTTGATTCCTGCCAGGCAATAAAGGGGATCATTTTTTTAGTATAACGTTATAAATAATATTCTAACATTGCCAAAAAACAGAGACTGGGTCACATCACTGCAGCAAGGCTAGGAAAGAAAAAATCATTGTTTACAAACAGCTCTTCTCTTTCCATCTGGGAAAGGTCAAGAATGCAGAAAGAGTACAATGAAAAAGAAGAAAAACTGATCAAAGCTCAAATCCTCATCTAGGAAGTGGCAGGAATACAACAGGTAAAACCATCAACCCATGAGAAAGAAAGTATGATGCAATGCTACACAAACACTCCATGCTTTGGAAGACACTGAGACCAGCAGTCCCTCACTGAGCCTCCAGATGAGATCTTGAAGTGCACCAGTAAAATTACAATAAAAAAATAAATGTGTCTGGCTTCTAGAGACAAAAAGGCATGGCCACAGGATGTTTATGAATTCTCAGTTTTTCTACATTAAAAAGAGAAAAAGATTTGCAGAAGACACTTCAAATAGATGGTAGGGGATGGTAGCCTACTTTCAGATCTGTCCAAATCTCTCACTACACAAGTTCTCTCTCCAACCTTGGCTAAACCTCCAAGTTTGTTTTAAAGAGCAAAACCAGCTGTACCTCCCACTTCAAGATGGTATCACGAGCGCTTGTTTTGCCTGGGGGTATCCAAGGGGCCTTAGTTTTCACCCGTACAGCTCGCACACTGTCCCCTTTAGATTTCTGTTTGTGCTTTTGCTAAAGAAAGAGAAAATAAAATAAATTACGGACCCTTAAAGAACCATTTGCAATTTTTAGTGCTGTAAAACCAAAGGAAAGATCATTAATACAGAATTATCAGTAGTGCTTCACAGGATGCATCAGGTGAGATGAGGTAGCAGCCACCAAAGGAAGCTGACACCAGTCAGAAAGAAAGGTTATTGCACACTCAGCTGAGAGGATGGCTGGATGTAGGACCTGACAGATCCCTGGAAGGTCCCTTCTCCATCCCAAATTCACCTCACAAAAAAGCAGCTATATCATTTGACACTATGATCGATTTTGGAAAGCCCTGGAAGTGTTTTCCCTACTCTGCAGTCAACTAGAAGATCCACATTTATTTGTAATGAACTTGACCTGCTGTTACTGAAGGAGAATTAAGATGTTTTTGCACAATTCTAACCTTAGAGAAAAATCTGATGCTGTAAACATTCCCTACTGGCAATTAATTCATAGGACTCATTATTTTCACTGTCATTCCATCCCATTATGAAATTTGCCATTAGCAACAAACACATAATTAATAGAAGACTTAGAACAGGATGTCTGTAGATAAGGAAGAATGAGATAGCAACTTCCATCAACTTTTTAGAACAACTTTCCATAAAAATCCAGCAACAAAGAGGAAATGGGATAGCTATAACCTCAGCTTCAGTTTTGCCTTGTGCCTTTTGTGGATAAGGCTGGGAAGAGATCTTCTGGGCTGCAGAACTCAGTGGACAGAGAATGTCCTTAATGCCAGAAGATGGTCCGAATGAAGATTCTTTTTCTAAGCACATTTATTTTAATACAATCAAGATGCTACTTGAAATGCCTAAGTACTATCTCTCCTCAAAGCCTTCCTCAAAAACAGACATGAAGCCAAACAGAAAACATTATCAGGACACACATCCAAGAAATAAAAGGGAAAAAATCCTCCAAATGATATCACATTGGAAGCAACATTTCTCACATGAACATGAAAAGCAATTCTGTATCATACCAAAATCAACTTTCAACAAATCAACATAGCAAATGTATCACTGCAAATTCACCACTGAATATGAAATGAAGTCTCACAGCTCTAACACAACAGTACAACAGACCTGGAAGATTTTGTGATGCTTCTAGGGCCATTCACCTTCTCTGCAGCCCTTACAACCAACCAGGTACACACTCCTACCTGGCATTTTGCAGGTGTGGTTTTCTGCCCCTTTTTAATATGCACATGGACAGGGGTGTTTTCATCCACATGGACGTGCAAAGGGGGAGATGAGCAACGGTTCTTCATGGCTCTTCTCCCACAAATGAGAAAGGGAAATGCAATGAAGGGAAACCTGTGAATACGGAAACTGGAAATAACATTTCCTTCAGTGTTCAGAGAGAAACAGTGGCCAGCCTCAGTTAACATTTGAGCTTTTTATCAGTAGCATCTGCCATTTTGAACTTCACACTATTCTTCCATAAAGCCAGAATTAACATAAACAATTCCTCTGCTTCCAGTATTTTCTGCTTTTAACCTGGTTAGTGAAGATCAAACACAGCTGGATCAATAGCAGATGTCTGTAAGAATCATTGAAGCTCAAAGTCTTAAAGCAAGTGAGCAAATCAAGGGTTCCCACTGAACCAACAAAATCTGATTACAAAGAGAAATTTGAAGCAGGGAGAAGAGGAGAATTAAGTGAACAGTTAAGAAAAACCATCAGGAAATCATCATACCAATCCATCCTAGAACCCTGAACCTGTATGCTCCTTCACACGTGCTTAACTTTGAGCATCTTTTTAAGCATAAATCCTTAAAAGCCATTGCATCACAGCATTTCTTTAACCTCCACAGAAACACATAACCATAACCTGACACAACACAGAAAAGCCAAGAGACACAAGGTCATCATCTTGGAGCTTCAGTTGATGTAAAGGCATAATGCAATCGCAAATCTTACACAAAGCCACCAGCAGCACTAACCTGATTCTGGCAGAAAGGATATTGTAAGCCTAGCTAAAGTTACTTACAGGTACTTTCAAGCTTTTGACTTTCCTGGATAAGGTCTTGGGTGAGGAGGAACTTTCTTCGTTGATAGATGAGAGACACCTGTTGCAGAAATAACAAAATGATTTAGAGGAAAAGGTGCCAATTTATGAACAACCTCTTCTTTTTGATTTAAGAGAATACCAAGACTAAAACATATGAAGTGCATGAACCCAAAACCCAAAAGTTGGTGTGGCCTAGTTTCCTCTGTAAAGCAGAGGATGAGGGAAGGACAGACTGTAATAATTCCCAACATACTGACAATGGAAACTGTTTTAAACAGTGGAAATGTTTTGAACAATTACACGATGGCATTATACACTTACAAACTTTCATATTCTAGCCGCAATTTTTAAGGAACACAGCAGCACTTCTTTTCATTCAGGAGCAGGACAGGCACTGACAGAGCCTTTGGATCACCACGAGTGACAACCAAACGTCACTATGCCTCCCTTAGCAACAAGGCTGACTCCTAAGTGTTAATTCCGCCTGCGGTCTCCGCAGGTTTTCCATGGAATCTGTGGTCACCTCAGGCTGGCAGAGACGCGGTCCGGGGCCGTGAGCTGCTCGCAGCCCTGAGCAGGGCAGGCCTTCAGCCAGCGGGGCCCGGCAGCTCCCAACGCCCGCCCGCGCCGTTATCCCGAGCCCATGCCTACCGCTGGCCGGCCAGCAGGAAGGAGCCCGAAAGGCAGGGAGGAAGGAATAACTCCCGGGGCTCGGCCCTCACCCACACGGCGAGGGAACACGCAAACGGCGAGGAGACACCCTCCAGGGCGAGGAAACGCCCACACGGCGAGGGGACGCCACACATGGCGGGGGCCCCTCCGCCCCGCTCTGCCCTCGCAGGCCCGGCGCTCTCACCACGAAGCTCCGCGCGGGGTCCGCAGCCACTTCAGTTCCCCATCAGCGCGGCGGATGGAGCAGGGGCGGCCGTGGGCCGAGTTCTGGGCACCTTGTCCGCACCAGACACAGGAGGAGCGGCCGCAGTGTCCCGGCCGCCGTCGCCGGCGTGCCGCCCGCGGCTCCACCATTGGGCGATTCGAACGGCCCTGAGCGGCGGTAACCGCCCCCGGTAACGCCCGCAGCTCCATGCGGCCGGCACGAGCGGCACAGCGGCTGCCCGGCCGCCACGGGTAACCCGGCCCCCGCACGGCGCCCTCAGGAGTGGCTGCTCCTCCGTGCAGAAACGGGGAGGTCTGAAAAGAGGATGAAATAAGTGGATTAATAAGTCAATTTTCTTGGCGTTGTCTTTGAGATGAGTTTTACCGTCTTAAAGGTGACACCAGAATTGTGTACACAGCCACTTTTACCGTTAACCAGAGCTGTGTGCAGTTCTGGCCGCCCTCAACAGAAGGAGGTGGAAATGTCGGAGGAGACCATGAAGTTGATAAGGGGACTGGAGCACCTTCCCTATGAAGACAGACTGAGAGAGCTGGGGCTGTTCAGCCTGGAAAAGAGAAAGGTTATGTGGAAACCTCAGAGCACCTTCCCAGATCTGAAGGGGGCTGCAAGAAAGCCAGAGAGGGACTCCTCATCAGGAACTGTAGTGATAGTATGAGGTGAAAATTAAAAGAGGGGAAAGTTAGGTTAGATATTAGGGAGAAAATCTTCCCTGTGAAGGTGGTGAGACACTGGCACAAGTTGCTCAGGGAAGTTGTGGATCCCCAATCCAGGCAGTGCTCAAAGCCAGGTTGGGTAAGGCCTTGAGCATCTGGTCTAATGGGAGGTGTCCCTGCCTATAGCAGGGGAGGTTGGGAGTAGATGATCTTTAAGGTCCATTCCAATCCCTTAACATTCTAAGACTCCATAAAAGGTGATACAAAATCCTGAAACAATCTTTATTTAATGTAATATTATTGGCATGTTAGTGTTATGGATATTCATCTTGAGAGGACTGATTCATGTACCACAGCAAGGAGAAGTGGAATCACTGAGCCCTTGGTGCTTCAGATCCTCATTTAACATGAAAATCTCTTCCTCCCTCTCAGGTTGAGGTGGATGCTGAAATTATCATCAAGGGTTTCTTCAACCTCCTGTTTATGCATGCTTTATATAATTCTTTAAAAGAACATTGCCTGTTGATACTATGGAACACAAGTTTCAGTACAGAACAGTTTAAAGAGGAGTCAAAGCAGCCACGCAGGCATTTGTACTGTAAACATTTTCTTTCTCCCTTCAATGTCAGATCATAATTCAATGATCAATGTCAGACTGAATTTGGAACTAGTCCTCCATTCAGAAAAAAACCCCAAATCTCTATCACCACCATTGTTTTAACCAATAAAGGCACTCTCCCTGAACACACACTGGACAAGCAGTTTTATTTACAGACCAGCTTCAGCTGCACCTGAAATATCACAACAAATCAGATTCCCTGAAACCTGCCTGCTCTTCTAGGGAAACAGTACTTGATCAAGGTAGTAATTAAGGATACTTGGGCTGTGCAGAGGGCCACTCACATTTGAACCTGCATTATCACTTGCTATGACAAATAAGGTTTCTTCCGTTAGAGAGGGACTTTGACAAGGGGCAGTGGCTTCCCACTGACAGAGAACAGGGTTACTTGGGATGTTACCAAAAAATTCTCCCCTGTGAGGATGGGGAAGCACTGGCACAGCTTGCCCAGAGAAGCTGTGGCTGCCCCATTCCTAGAAGTGTTCAAGGTCAGGTGGGACAGGGCTTAGAGCAACCTGGTCTAATGGAAGGTGTCCCTGCCCGTGGCAGAGGTTGGAACAAGATGGTTTTTAAGGTCCCTTCCAACCCAAACCATTCTATGATTCCACCCAGCACAGCTCAGAAGATTTAGCTGCAGGTACAGCTCCTAATCTGACTGCCACCTCAGCAAATCCTTTGTTACTCTTGCATGACAGAAACATCTAGAGATCTCCTGGCCATGCAGATGGCTCTTAATCCTTCTTTTCCTAAAACAAGAACAAACTGATCTTCAGGGATATACCAGAGAGATCTCATGCAAGACAAGCCTTTCCAATAACTGCTCTGCATTTGTGATTTCAGTGTAGGCCATGTTCTTTGGGTGCAAAGGGTAAGGTAAGAACACAGATCTCACAAAGGAGACAGAATAAAGCCAGCCTTTATCCTTGCAGACCGTACAGAATCAAATCCTGAGAGAACCGTTTACATGGAAGAGAGAAAGCAGAGCGCAGCCTCGCTGCTGTCAGAGGAAGGGTGCCTTCTCCAGCACTGCAGATTCCTCCAGTCCCCTTAGCACTAGCTTTACAAGATTCTATTGCAGGAAATATTGTCACTTAAAAAACAGTATCCAGTGTCTCAGTCAGGAAAACACTTCAGGTGACATGGATGAGTAGCAGAAGACAGCATGAGGCAAAAGCTGGTCAGGCCTACATCTGACACAGCCATAACACCAGCCAAGAGCACCTTGCTTTTACAGTAACCTGCTCTGAGGGTGCTTCTTGTATGAAAGAAGCCTTTTTGCTGCATTCTTCAGTTCAGAGTGTCTCCTTTCCAGCAGCATCCAAAATCCCTTTCTTTTACCTGTCCCCATCCTTCTACAAACACCCAGCTGGACCCTTTTCTCACAGCAACATGATGTTCCGAGCGGGGTGCTCTCTGTGCCCACATGTCAGTCCATTAGGTGTGACCAGTCAACTCTAAAAATAGAAGCCATTTCTTCTGAAGTTTTCACCATGCAAGTACTTCAGGGGGGCAGCTGCAGTTGGCATCAGATGGCAACTCCAGTTTTTTCAATGACTTCTTCCATGCGCTGGTACCAAGGCTGAATATTGGTGTGAACCATCATGTCATCAAAGGCTTCCAGCCCCTCCATGACCCGGAGCACGCCGTACACTGCCTGTGAGGAGCAGAGAGGTCAGAACAGCACTGAGAAAGCAGTGGAGAATGGCTTAGGGTACAAGTGTCTCAACAGCCAAGCCAGTATGGCTCTTCCCCTGTCCTGCCATCTGATCCATCCTTCTGATTAGCAAGGAGTGAATGGCAGAAAGGTAATTAAGAATATGCATGTTTTTCCATGAGGAAACAGTAAGGAAGGATCAGGATCTACGTGCAGTTATGGGGAAGTCCCCACCATGTGAGAACTGTATTACTGCACAAAGGACAGTGTATCTCATGTAGCTCAGCTTCTCTGCCTGTACTTGTATTAACCATTTCACAGAGATGAGCAGCAGGATGATTTTTGATCCACCTGACAATAACCACAGGGATGAAGCCCTTACCAGGTCAGCGAGGTTTGGCTGGTTCCCACCCATGAACAGTCGATTTTTGCCAACAGCTTTCACCCACTTGTTAACTGCTTCATACAAATCTTCTCGGACATCATCTCGAAGCTGGTGTCTGCATAAAGAGAAGAATCAGTTTGAACACAAAAGTTTGTTTCTTTCTTTAACCTTCTATCACCTCTCACCTTATGGGCTGGTCTTGGCTTGCAAGTAAGGGCAGAATTTCAGAGTGAAGGGGCAGTCAGTAATTAAATAGTGGATGAATAGAGGGGTTTAGTACCTCCAGTTACAGAAGTACAGTTGTTACTCATACACGATTAAATGGTTCCGTTTAAAACTCCGAGGTTCTGCCCTTTGACAGCTAAGGGGTTCACAGCTAAGGAGGAGCTATTTCTCCTCTTGTGTACTTGGTGCTTAGTGATACCAACCTTTTCTTCAGCCTCTTGCTAACGAAGAACATGGCAACAGCCCCCACGTATTTGGCAAAGAGACCTTCCAAAGTGCCAAACTTCCCCTCACGGACAATGTAATCAAAAGATGCCAAGGCTTCTTTGGGGGTGCGGTAAACATTGGGGGAGATGAGGTGAACAAGCCAATCGTCTGCCCACTTTCTCCACTTCATTTCTTCCCTGCAAGTAGTCAAAAGAAAGTACTCAGTGAAGGAGGTACAGATAGAAGGGCTACAGGAGGCAGGATCACAGTTGCCTTAGCCAGAGATCTTTCCAAGGTCAAACACTCCTACCCTGGTACTCTGGTGACCTCTCTATAACACACTCAGCATCATTATCTTTGGCAAGGCTCCTCCAATCTCAAACTGAATTTAAGACTAAGATAGGGCACTAGGTTCTCTGCCCAATATGAGAAATAAAGCAGGAACGGAAACTCCTTCAAATAGCAATCCTCTGTGGCACAAAGGAAAGGCCAGGAAGAAAACTGGAGGCAGCTGAAGGCCTGTGTGACCATGGTGGTGGTAACTAGGCTAACAGCTTTGTTTTAAATTATCTAACAAACACAGCAAACCAAATAATGAGGCTTGAAACACTAACAGGGGTGTGACAAGACTTGTCAGCCCTAATGGGATTTTACATCTACATCAACCCTGAGTATATATGGAGCAGGCTGTGACCCTAATTGGAGAGCCCAGAAACTGAAGAGCACTTACACTCTCACTTCTTTGACAGGATAGACTCTCTTGGTCTCCTTCTCATCCAGCATGAGCCAGTATTTATTCTCATACTCAAGCACCTCCTTGCCTTGCTCAGTCACTGTTTTAACAGCTGGATAAAAGGACACGATTTCTTCTAAGCTATTCCTCCTGTGAAAAGAAACACAGTTAGCACTGATCTGGCTCCTACAAAAAAGGAGCAAGAGCAAAGGCCAGATTGAAAGATACACACTATAAAATGTATTATTCTAAAAGTAAGTGCACAATGTTCCAGATTCTATTTGAAAAAAAAAATACTAGAATAGCTACTTGAAAATAACTATTATTAGTGCACATACCTTTGTCTGTGGCAGAACAAAAATTTCTGCAGACATAAAACTTCCTACCATTCTCAAGCAGACCTAACCGACAGACCATAGGCACAACAATGCCATTTCATTCTAGATGTTATAACTGGCTAATTGTAAGATCAGTTCCAGGATTAACACTAGTCCATATGTAAGTAGGTTTTGTGCAAACAGAATCTCACAGATGAGAAAGTACTTCTGAAAGGTACAAGCTTTGCTTTACATCACACACATCACAACATATATAGGCATCACCCATAATATCACAACCAGGCTCAGGTCACCCAAAGCTTCAGAGCCTGAGGTCAGCAAGAGACTTACAGCACTCTTCTAAATCTCTACTTAACCTGGGCCCTCCACATTCAGCTCTTCTCTCATTACCCTGTTTTCTTACCTGGAAACAAGGTAGGTCTTTATTGCACTGATTATCACCGAGGAGTCGTTCAATTGCTGAAAAACAGGATTAAAGCAACCATTTAAAAGAAACTGGTTAAATTGAAAAGGAAATTCTTCAAAACCTATTCCTCTGCATGCTGAGGCTCCAAGACAGGTAGACTTACCAGAGGGCTCCCAGCATTGGCTAGCAGGATGGGCACCTTTCTGTAGGAAGAGAATTTGATCTCTTTCCTCATGATCGGGTTCACTTCCACAATTTCATAGGGCAGTCCATGATAATCAAGAAAAGCTCGGACTTTGCTGCAGAAAGGACATGTTTTATACTGGTAGAGAGTGAGCTGCAGGCTCCCTGCAGGCAGCTGGGGAAAAAAGAGAACAGAATATTCCATTTTCTGCTAAAAACATAAACACGACCTTCCTTCCACCCTGATTTCTGTCCTGAATGTTCTGACATTCAGTGTCAACATCTGATCATGAGCATATCTTGGCTATCAGATGCTTGCTTTAAATGGCGTCAAATATTTAAATATTCACCATCCACTGGGACCAATAACCTGTTGCTCTATACATCTATTTAATGTGCTGGAAACTCCTACTCACAGCCAGGAAAAAAAAAATAAGTTAAATCCAGACAGTTTATCCCTTTATGGTTTCTATTCTGTAAAAATTTTATAGAAAACCAAAACCATTTGCAGTAATATTCAAATAAACAAAAATAAAGCCTTTACAAGACAATCCCTCCCTCACAACAGCCTCTGTTGAGGCCACATGGTGGGAAGAGCAGAGTTTGCATTTGATTTTAGGCACGTGTCTGCCCAAATTCGCATTCCTGGGATTAACCAACCTGGGCACAACTGGGACAAGGCAGGGAAAGCCCAGGGCGACCAGAACATCAGTTACGGGATGTTTGGCAAAGCTGCTACACCTCACCCACAGGCCGTGCCAATCATTCCTCACACATTAAACAAATGCAGCCACCCCGCTTTGTTTCTCATTTACAATTTACTGTTACACAACCCTGCGCGGGTGCTGCGAAAAAGCAGCAGCAGAAAAAGCTCCACACCCCCAAGGAAGCCCCTCACTGACAGCCTTTCCTTACAGCTCCTCAAGGAACGCTCTGCCAGGGGCCTCCCAGACCATTTCAAGCTCTTCCCTCACTCAAACCGGGGCAGAAGGAGCCGCTCGGTCCGCGGGGAGCCGCTGCTCCCGGGGGCCGGCTGCCGCCGCAGCGGGGTCCCCGCAGGCCTCGGGGAGGGCACGGCGGGGATCGGGGGGAGCCGGCGTTACCTCAGCGGCCGAGTGCTCCCGCAGGCGCTGCCGCGCCGCCAGGCACAGCCCGGCGCTGCCGCCCAGCGCGAATGCAGCGCCCAGCACCAGGCGGCCGCCGCCGCCGCTGCTGCCTGCCCGTCCCGCCGCGGCGCCGAAGGCTCGTCCCGGGGCCCGCAGCCGCCAAGCTGGCGGCAACAGCAGCGCTCCAACCCGCCAGACGCGGCCGGCACCCGCCATCTTCGGCTGAGGGCGGGCGGAGAGCGGCCGCTCCGCCCCGGGCACGGCGGCACCGCCCCGGCACGGCCGCGGCTCGGGGCTCGGGCGCCGTGCCCGCTGAGGGCGCACCCCGCGCGGGACACCTAACACGGGGCAGGCCCGCTTCCCTGTGATTATCAAATCTGAGAACACACTAGAGTCTGAAGTGGGAATGAAAGAATCAGTTAACAGGGTGAGGGAACTGGGCCTGTCCAGCCGCGAGGAAAGGCAGCTGAGGGGATTTCATCGATGTCTTTCAGTGTCTGCAGAGAGGGGGAAGAGAATGGATGAGGCCGTGGTGCCGAGCAATAGAACAAAAGGAACGGGCTGGAACTGATGCACAGAAAGTTCCACCCGAACATGAGCACTGTTACCCTTCTTTCCTGTGCAGCCCTGAACAGGTTGCCCAGAGAGGGTGTGCAGTCTTCCTCACTGGGGACGTGATGCACAGAAAGTTCCACCCGAACATGAGCACTGTTACCCTTCTTTCCTGTGCAGCCCTGAACAGGTTGCCCAGAGAGCAGTCTTCCTCACAGGTTGCCCAGAGGGGGTGTGCAGTCTTCCTCACTGGGGACATTCCAGAACTGTCTGGACACAATCCTGTGCCGTGTGCGCTGGGGTGATCCTGCTTGAGCAGGAAGGTGAGACCAGATGATCCACTGTGATCCCTCCCTATCTGACCCCTTCTGGGATTCTGTGGTTCTCTGCCCAGTGGGGCTGTGGGTTCTGACCAGCACATACCCACAATGCAAGTGCACATCTCCACACTGAAAGTCATCATCTGTTTTATTAATATGTGGTTACATCCATTCATTACACTTATATTCAATTTCCCTATTTGGAGTGCAACGCGAGCCTGACTCTGCAGCACAGCAGGGTTATTACCCACAGAATGGAGAAGTGGCTGCAACATTAAATGAGATTATGACCTTTTCTTTTGTCTTTGTCCCAAATACCGAGTTAATAACAGAATTCTTGATCTCAGGAGCACTGCTTGAATCAATGTTCTAATTATTTTCATCCCAGTGTCTTCTCCCCCGGGGATGAAAGCACCACACAGCGATGAGATCTCCTCAAGGTGCGGCTGATACCAGGCCAAAGACAGGGAAGGGCAAAGTGAATCGTTGCTTTAGGGAAGAGGAGTGTGAAGGTGACCTGAGGCTGGTTCAAGCCGCTTAGTGGACGAAGCAGAGCTGGAGACAGGGCTGGAGTTGGGAGCTCAGCAGCAAAGCCCCAGCCGGGACGGGATGGCCCGCAAGGAGAGAATGCAGATTTATCCATACAGAACATCACTTGTGTGGGGAAAGAAGCGCTTAGTGCTGATGGCGGCCCCTAAGCGGGGGAGTTCAGGAGGACCTGAGGACACTTGGGAGGGCAAGGACGCAGCCTAGCGTTGGGCACGCGTTTGGGAAAAATCCCCGAGGAAAGGAGAACGTAGCGCTGACCCCCGGGGCCGCCCCTGCCCAGCGCCGCTCGCCGCGCCCGCCCGCGCGCCTGCGCCCCGCGCCCTCCGCGCTAACCACAGAGTTCTCCGCAGCGCCGGCCTGCGTGACGCGCAAGGCGCCCTGCCCTCCCATTGGCTGGAGGCCCCGCGCGTGCACGGGCGCGCCGTGCGGGCGGCGCCGAGGCGCGGGCGGGCGCGGCGGGATGTCGGGGCCCAACGGAGACCCGCACGTGTTGGGCGGCGGCGCCGGCGACGAGGGCGACGAGGGCGGGGACACCTTCGAGGAGGAAGGTGCGTGGGGAGAGCGGGGCCGCCATCTCGGAAGGGATCCCGTGGCGCAGGATGGCCTGGCCTGGTCCCCTGGGCTGCGGGTGGCAGAGCGCAGGTGTGCCCAGGTTGCCCAGATGTTGTGCCGAGAGCGGTGCCCATTGCCAGCCATGCACCCGCTGCACGGCAGTGCAGCTGAGGGGATGCAGGGCTTGATTCCCACCCAGCCATGGGGCAGCGAGCTCCTACGCGTTGCCCTGGGATGGATTTTTTTTCTTGTGAAAAAATGGTTGTGCCTTTGTTGGTGTACCGGGTGCGGTCGGGAAAGAGGATGTTCAGGTTTCGAAACCACAGGGCAGATCTGGGAGAAGCTGTCATGCATGGAAAAGGGAATTTAATCTTGGCAGATTCCACTTGGGGGCATTTCTGCAGTGCCTGGGTATGACCTTGGGTATGCCGATTCTGATATGCCCTGTCCGGTTAGAACCAGCCCCTGGAGAAAGTGACACGGCAGCGGAGCGGTAATGTGGACGTAGAGGTCACTCAAAACTGGAATTCTTTCAGAGTAAGCACTTTGCTACTCTTCTGTTTTAAATGGTGGAGTTGGGTTCTGCTGTTTCCCAAAATATTCTGTTCCCAGATGTGACCCACACAGGTGATTTTAGGAGTTGTGTCTGGGATCTAGCTGCTGACAGGACAATCATTTCTGCACACCCCAAGTGCGTTCACTGCTTTGCATCGTCACAGTGATTTGTATTTCATTATTTTGAAGAGCTAAGAGACACATTGGATGTGATGGAGAAAGTCACTAAATTGGATGTACATCCTAACTAATTGGGTTGTTCAGCTTGTATTTAACTGGGCTTTGTGTGCAGTAGCTGGTCATAAAGGGCTGCTGCTATTTCCTGGTCCAGTGGGGCTCAGGCTGTGGATCTCTTCCTTCATCTCAAGTAGGAAACCTGATTTTTTGTCAACTGTTCTTGTAAGAATGTGGAGGAGTTAAGGCAATTGCCATGCTCCTGCTCAGTGTTTCCAATAGGGACGTAGTTATATTTCCACAAAAATCCACCAAGCTCGCAACAAACGGAAAACAATCAAAGGTTTTTACAGCTTATTTTTAAATGGTTAAATTTTTTTAATTTCCCAAAGCTGAAGAAATTCTATAATGTTCATTTGAGTTTTAGGCATGGAGAAAATTCAGCTTCTGCTGTGATTACAGACTTCTTGCCAGAAGTAGTTACCATGTCTGCCTGGGATCTGCTCACCCTTGCACTGGAATTTGGTGCACCAAACTGAAGAGCTGTAACTCACGGACCTTGGAAAATGCTGACAGTTTGAAAAATACTGATATCTGCCACCTTTTGGGAAAGCATGTGTTTGTGGGATTGATTTTCAAATGCAAGAACATCATCAGTGCTCTCGCTCATAATGCCACCTCTAAGTATACCTACAAGGCCAAACTTTTATTAATGAGCTCAAATGCAACATTACACAATTCTCCAAAGAATTAAAGGCTGCAACACTCTGAACAGCTCCAAAGTGGTTATAAGAAAAGGAGGATAATTATGTTTTTATAATGAAACTTCTTAGCTATTAATAATGCAAATGACATCAATGTTTAAATAGTCACAGTTCTTTCAAAGCTGCTGGAAATGGCAGTGCCTGTACCTGGTGTGCTGGGGCAGAGGGACAGCTGAGAGGGGCAGAGCTGGTCTGGGGGATTTCAGCACAGCCTGACCCTCCTAGGGTGCCCAGAGCACATCCTCATCCTCCCTCCCCTCCCCACATCCTTCAGCTCAGCGTTCCAGGCACTGTGAGTGTCACCCTGGGCTCAGAGGAGCTGGGTGGAGAGGAGCCAGCCCCAGCCCATGAGCTGTGGGCTTCTCCCACCCACACAGGCATCCTTCCCTGTCCTGCAGCCCCTGATCCTCACAAACATCAGCCCCCAGGTCACAGCTCCACCTCTGCTCCCTGCACTCACCCAGCTGTGTGCCTTCAGGAAGGAACATGGGACTGGCTCCATCTGGGGTCCCCTGCTGCTCCCCAGGGGTCCTGAATAACCTCAGCAGTTTGTCTGTTTTTTCAGTTTGGGTTTTTTGTTCTTCTTCAGGATTGTGTGACTATTGCTTGGAGCAATCCAAAAGCAAGTGTTGCAGAAGCACAGCATTCTTCAGCTGGGTAACAGTGCTAACACACCCCACTGTGAAATGCCATTGTACTGAGGGAAACTGCTGCACGTGAAACAATGCTGTGAATAAGAAACTGTACCTAGAGAATCAACTGCCAGGATCATCTGCAGTGAGTCTAGGTTTAATCAGAAGTACCCAAAGCCTTAATAGAGTATGAAAACCCTGTGGCTGAACTCAGTGCCCAACACTTACCTTCCTGTGGAAATAATTGTGCCACTACCAGCACCTTTGGGCTCATCCCCTCCTGCCACAGCCATGATGGCTGCAGTGTTGTGGCAGCCTGACTCCAGCCAGGCCTGAGTGAAGCACATCCCAGCCTGGAAGCCTTACCCAGTTCACAGAAAATGAACCCTACAACGTGCTGATAAAGTGTCTGTACAGTCAGGAAAGGTGATTCCAAAGGCAGCTAAAAAGGCTGACTTGTCTTTGGGATATACCTGGTACTGTTGCAGTCAGCACTCAGCCTATGGCTGGCTGTTTGTGTGTGAGATCTGAGGCTGTCAGATGTGCCCACAAGGGTTTGGACTGCCCAGGTACCTTGCCTTAGATCTTGTTACCAGTGTTCCAGCTTCTCAATGGCCTAATTTGATCAGGGAACAGAGCACATGCAGGATGCAGTTGCATTTTAGTTCACCCACCCAGGGGCAAATAAGACACATGCTGTGGGCATGTTTTGCCAGAGCTCTCACTGCCTGCTCTGACTGCAGTGATATTGTACTTACATTATTCAGTCTCTCATTTCCCTTGCTTTTAGAATATGCAGCAATAAACTCCATGCTGGACCAGATCAACTCCTGCTTGGATCACCTGGAGGAGAAGAATGATCACCTACACATCTGCTTGAAGGAACTGCTGGAGTCCAACCGCCAGACCCGGCTGGAGTTCCAGCAGCAGAGCAAGCAGCTGAACACAGGAGCTGATGTGCAGGGATCCCAGCCTCCTGCCTAGAGTCTGACCACACACTCTCAGCTGGTGTTGCTAAGGGGACAGTTACTGGTCACCAATTTAATGTAGAACTTGAATAGCAGAGGTGCCTCATGTCTGTTACTTGTTCCTTTCTGTGTTTGTGTCCTGCCGTTCATTTCCATGTTGTTTTCCTTTAGCTGTGAGACAGGTGCAGAAGCACAAGGGTGGCTATAGGAGAGCTGGGTCTTTCTGCTCCCCAACATGAACCTGGCACTCACACCTGGTTAAAGCTGGTTGTAGGAAACCTGAGCCCATGCAGGAAGTTTGCAGGCAGGCCCTCTTCACAAAGTGGAAAAATGATCTCTGCTCTCTTTTCCTTAAATCCAAGCAAAGAGTATTGTGGCTCTACAGCCTTTGGCAGGGGCTGTCCTGACTCCAGGCTTGTCCCTAAGTGTAACTTTGATAACAGCCCTGGAGAGGGAGGGCCTAGGCCTTGAATCTACAGCTTCTTCTCCCTTAGTCACATCAACTGTGATTACAAAATACTGGCACATGGTTCCAGATCACTGGACACTTCCACTCCATTCCAAGCAGATAAGACAAGCTACCAGGGTGGTGTTTCTGACCATTGTAACTGGGAACTGCCCCACTCTTCAGCTGCCATTAAGGACCGAGGTGTGGAGAGGCAGAGCAGCCTGGTTAGCCCCCACCACAGCGTCAGCAATAGAAAGCAGAGCCCTCCCTGTACATTCTGACAAGGCACGAGAGGTCTGGTCTGTACTTTGTGATCTTGTCAGTATGTCCTAGAGCCAGCACTTTTGAAGAAGTCTTAACTGTTCTACTTACGTAGAGTTAAAGGAGTTTTTTGGAAAGTTAAAGAGGTTATTTAAAAGAAATGTGTTTTATTAAAATCAGTTTGAAACAAACTTTGTTCCTGAGAGTCTCCACTATGAGAACAAATTGGATTAAGCGTTGTAGTATTAACAAAGGACCAAGGTGCATGTTTTTGCCTAGCTTAGGACTTGTCCAAGACTGCTTGTCCAACAGTGTGTGTCCTAGAAAGGAAAGTGTTCTGAGAAGCAGAATTCAGCGGAGTCTCCCAAGAGATAAACACTTTCTCTCCCTGGAAAGGAAATGAGAGGAACTACAAAGAATTCTTAAGTCTGCATCCATCACTCCGTGAAGTTTGTCCCCTATGGAAATCCCATTACCATCTTCTTTCAGGTTCAACAATCCAAGCCTCAGTCTTTCCACATAACTGCTGTATCCCAACTGTACAAGTAATAAGCAACGCTATCCTGTATTAGACACGCTAAAGCCAGGCTTATTTATTCTTAAAATAAAAACAGCAGTAAAGTTGAAGGTTTTGCTCTATTAAAAGACTCAGAAAATAAACATTTCCAGCAAATATCATATGTAAAGGGCTCTCCTTTAAGGCCACTCTATCTGGGTTTGCGCCTGGAAGAGCGTCTGCACCCAGCAGAGGTGAGACCGGCTGTCTCACCTTTGGCGAGGGAGGAAGGCTCTGCTGCTGCCTCCTGGCCTGGTTCTGCTGCCTCCTTCTGTCCTAAGCCTCCTCCACTCCCTGGATCCTGGTGGTCGTCTGTGCCCGCCCTCTGCCTGGCTGTGTTGGCTTCTTCCTCACGTCCCAGTGACTCCCCTACGGTGTGGCTCTCCTCAGAGAACAGGCAGTCGGCACTAGTGGCAGTGGACTTGTTCTCTTCCTGTAGACTTTCTTCTTCTACAACCATGATACCACACACATCGTCAGTCACACTGGCCAGGCTCTTGCCCTCTGGCCTAGAGGTGGCCAGCTCACCCTTACCCTCCAGAGACCTTGAAGTTTGTTCTTGCAGGGCTGACAGCTCTGTGCCCTCCTTATCTATCCCATGATCATCACTCATCTTCTTGCTGGTATGTGCTGTTGTAGCAAGAGGCTGCTTTGGATCATCCAGCAATTGGGAGCTGGAGCCCTGGGAATGCAAAGGAGCCTCGGGGTAGGCAGTTGTGGCACGATGCCTTGCTGCCTTGTATCTCTGCAAATACAAACAAACCAAGGTGAGAGAGAAGCCCAGCTCAGCTCCTGTCACTGCAGCAAAGCAGCAGCTGGTCCAGGAACACCTGTACAAAAACAGTGGTGAGTGGCAAGGGCACAAGTGATCTCAGCAGCTCCTGGCCTGGCTGCTGTGGCTCTCAACAGAGAAAGGTCAGCTCCTGTGAGGAAAAGTTATATTAAAAACTGAAGTCCCTCTCGCATTACTTAATGCTGAGCGAGTGCATGGCAGACTTGTGGTTCCTGAGACAGAAATCGTGATCTGGCAACTATTAATGTCAGTCAGACTCAGGACTCTGTAGATGTAACAGTGCAAGTGACAGCTCCTGCTTCAGCTAATGCCAGGACACATACCCTGGGCATGTGAGGCTCTGCACAGCCCTCAGCTACTGGTGTGATTTAATGTTTATCAGCCAAAGCAAGGCTTAAGCTGAAAGCTTTGTACTTCTTCACTCTGTTGATAAAATCTGCACGGTCAGTGGAACTGTTGACAGGAAGGCTACAGTATCATATCCATTCTATCTTGTTACAAGTCACTGGGGTTTTCCACAGAGTAAAGGTAAGCACATCATCAATAAAACGACTCATTTGCACTCACTATCATGATGAACCAGTAGAGGTCTGTAAAGAGATTAAAATGGCTACAACGCATGTTCTAGACTGGATTTTGGGAAAACAGCTCACTGTAGCTAGCTAACACATAGCAGGAACCCAGTCTTCAATGCCCAGAGAGATTGTGACCTAAAGGAATAAACTGAAGTTCACTTTTTCCCACAGCAGTTCCCTTCATAATCAAGTCCCTTTCAGCTGCCTGCTAAAGGGTTCTGTGAGCTGGCACTAGCATTACACCTGACAATTTAAGGAAACAATTTCAAGCACAATGCCTTTCACCAGTCTGCAATGTGAAATTACAGCACATCTGACAGGCAGCTTTACATATTGTAATTCAGTTTATCACTGCAGGCTTGTTCTTCCTCTCCTCAAATCATGGGATATGAACAATATCACACTGGAATTGGATCAGTCGAGTCATACTGTACCCAAACCTAAGCAGGTGCAGGCATGCAAACTGGTGTCCAGAGTGATGCTGTAAATTGTCTTAACAGCACACAATTCTCTGCTTTGAAAACCTCTGCTGAGCTACTCTGCTGAGAATATCCCAGCAACTGGCAGTGATTTAACTCAGACTGTGACAACCTCAAGGCACCCAGGCAGGCAAGAATAATAGTTATCTGCCTGCAAACATGTAAGTCTGGACTCTTCTCATGAACTCCCCAGGTCATTCTGGCATGAATTTGAAGAGCATCTGATTTCAGCTCTAAGTGGGCCAAAAGAGTGACCTAAGTGGCTGGTGCAGTTTCACTCTATGCTGATCTAAAACAAGCCAGGAAAACAGCAAGTCCAATTCCTTCATTCCTGAAATGACTAGCTGCAGGAGTGGGAGAGGATGAGCAACCATGAAGGAACAGCTGTGGTCTCCTCCCATTCCAAATCCACTGCTCTGAGTGCTGGCAGAATTCTAAAGCACTCCACCCCTTCCTGAAGGCAGTGACTGGGAATAGTTTCTTCTGTCTGAAGACTAGAAGAAAACCATGAAGTTTTGGGGGGGGTTAGGGTGTATGTATGTGTGTTTGGGTTTTTTTTAAACACTAAAAAGGTGGTAGGGAAGCACAGCAGTTTTTGGGAGTACATTGTGGGTGCAGCCAGAGGGCCAAGTCGATGTGGGAGCCTCCCTCCTTGCCAGGGACAGGGAATAGAGCTCTCCCACACAGGAGGGCCCAGGCAGTGGTCACGGGATAGGGCAGAAACAGTGCAAGTCCTGTGTACCCTCCACAAGCACTAATCCAGGCCCCTTACCCCCTGGCAAGTCAACAAGGACAGAACAATGGAGGCAGATTCCAGGCCAGCCCAGTAGGAAAAGCTTTAGATACGAAAGCAGCAAGGGGCAATACGGCTTCTTTATGTGGAGCCAGAAAAGCAAAGGAACAGCATCAGTTTGCAGAGCTTTGTGCTAAGGAGTTTCTAGGAAAGGGCAGCAGACAGAGAGAGACAGACAGACAGACAGACTTCCTCTTGCAGGCTGACCCTGGGGACAAATGGACTCTCACCAGCTTCTAGATTCTATCACATAAAGAGTCTGTAATGTTAAATTTTCAGATTTCTAAGGTATCTGATTTTACCAGGCCTCTTCCTGGATGAATCACACCCACGCTTTTGGCTAAAGGAGCTGTTCTTGCAGTATCACACCTGGAGATGCGTATGCACCAGCTTTCTTTACAAGGAACAGCCTCTCTCTCCTGCTCAATCCCACCTTGACCAACCTTGTAATCTAACAGAGAAGAGGCCTAGACTAAATGACAGACTCCACAGGTTCAGCAAACAGAGCGGACACTCTGAGGAAGATTCCCAGCCAGAAACAGGCAAAAAGATGACAGCAGCAGTAGCTGGGAGGCAGGACTTAACTGGTTTTAGATCTACAAGGGCCAAGGGAGACAAAGACAGAGCACACCAGGAGAAAGCTACAGCATAATGGACACCAAGGATGATGGAAATGAGCTGGAGACAAGACAGCTAACGTGGTGGATTCACTGGAGAGACACGCACGGGGGAAACAAATGCCAGGCCATGCAATCGCCAAAGGGTCTAACCTGAAAGTTCTCAAAATGCATCAGGGACTTGCAGTGTGCGAGCCGGGCAGCGGAGTCGCTATGGTAGAATTTGTGACACAGCCTGCAGAGGTAACCTGCGACGGGGACCAGAAAATCCAGGCCTGCGAAACGGGAGGGGAAGGGAAATCACAGATCACATTGAATGGAACTCAAATAATGAAAGCATGTTAAAAGAGAAGGGGGATGGGAATAAAGAAGGAGAGGTGGAAAGCTTTGCTTCTGTTAATCAGGGATTTGCAAGATGACTTGCTGAATATCTCGTCTTACCATGGAATGGCTGTGGTTGATATTCAGAGAGAAATCTGGCTGCCAGAGCAAAGAAACTACACAGAGCGTTAAGGGGGGAAAAGGGAGAAAAGAATACAATGGAAAACTACAGAGAACATGTGATCTAATGTAATGGGATCAAACCAAGCAGAAGACAGCAGGCGCGCAAGAGGAACACGCAGAGAACATTCACAGCATGAATCATTATTCCATCTGCCACACGATAGTGGAAGGTTACAGCGATATGGAAGATTCGTGTAAACAGAGCTCTCCTTGGGCACAAAACAGCCTCTGCAGAGCTGCCCTCCTCAAACACGAGTGGCCATTAGGGGTTTGAAGTCAGTCGCTTACAGGGTGGGGACCAGACACAGCCATCTGGAGGAACCGCTGCCCACCAGGCCAGCACACGGCTGAGGAACTGCTCGGTACAGCGTGGGGGTTCTGAAGCAGAGGAAACATGCACACTTTGGGTCTAGCAGAGAGTTTGATACTGTCAGTGATGCTCAGTATCTCTCTGCAAGCTGCATTTCTGTTGGAAAGCATTCCAATCAATATGCTTTCCGACTCCATCTTTCCAGAGCATCCCTCATTTGCTCCCTACTTTCTTCAGTACTCCTGCCCTGCTTGTTCCATGTCCTACCTTAGAAATTTATCTGGCTCTCATCCTTCTTCAAAGCAAAAGGCAGTTGACAAACATCAATCACATCCTCATGTTTTATCACACAGTAATAAAGAAACATCCTGCTTTCAGGAGAGGTTCTTCTCCAGGCAGCAGTGAACTGCACCAGTCCAATGCAGATGCTGGAGCACTGTGGCCCAAGAAGTCATTGTAACAGTAGGTAGAGACCATCCTCTCCTACAGATATGGCATGTGGCCAGAGAAGGCTCTGTGGCCCTTTGTGCTTAACTCTGCTTGCTTACCATAAGCTGTGTCTGG